TCCTATGAGCCGAAAGAATTTCCAAGGAAAATGGATTTTATTGCGACGCAAAAAATTGGGTATGTTCCTATCAATGTACCTAGTACGGATATATCCTTGTTTACGGGTATAGATAAATTCTCATATCAAAATTCCACACTCAGTCATCCAGGAAACAACTTTAGCTCTTATCAGTACGAATGCGGTCTGTCGTGGGTTTTACTTACACAAATAAAGGGACCGTGTCACCATTATTATCGAGAGCCACTCGAAAATCCACCACAAGCTTTGCATGAAAAAAATTTCATTTCTTTGAACTACAGAGGAAATATTTAATACATCACATAACTGCGGTGATCTGCACGTGTTAGATATTTCTTCGGCAGTCTGAGGTCGCGTTCTGTCAGTTCTGTTGGGGGAAAAAACCGTTTTTGGTTGGTTTGGTTGATCAACTTTTTTGTTGAAATGGTTGAAAATTATGGGCAACGTCCGCTGATCTTTATCGTTGATAATACGTGATTCAAATACACATATGCACATAAATAAACATGATACATGATACAGATTTGACAAGGTGGACCTCAAGGTTATCCCTATAAAAGATCCACTAACTGAACTTTAAAAATATTAAAAAAATTATAAAAAATGCGCGTAAAAATCATTATTGCAGGTACAAAATGGTATAGTAAGAATGATATTTAAAATGAAAATATATATATTAAAATATGAGCTAGTTTGTCAATAAATCTTCATCCATCTTTTTAAGCCTTTTTTAAATTTGTTAACGTTAATTTCGTCAGTGGAGAGATGGTTTGGCAAAATGTTCCAGTCTTTGACGATTCTCACAAAGAAGGAGGAGTTAAAGGGGTTAACTTTAGCTGATTTAGTTTGTATTTTGTATGGATGGTTGGCTCCAGTGTTTTTACTTCTACAACACTCGAAATAGTCATTGAAGTTTAGGCCATTAGGCCACTTGATCTTTATCAAGTTTTGCGTCATTTCCCTGCGAATTTCGTGCTTAAAACTGGCGAAGAGCTGGCGTAGGTCTCCCGAAAAACTTGCACGTATACAAACAACGACGGCGGTCTCAACTCTACTTGAAATCTAAATCTATCACTGTGCAAAGCTCCTACATGGGATATTTGTGAACAGGGAACGGTCAGGGCTTATTCAGTCATAGACGACAGTATGGCTTTTAATTGTCTTGTACAGGAAGTATTCCGAATGTGAAGGGGCAGATGGTTCCTCTCTGGGACTATGCGCGGAAAGAATGATACTCTATAACAACTCTTACGCGCTAGGATTATCCTAAAGAAGAGTTCACCTTACTTTATTTATTTATCTATTTTTTACAAAATAAATCGATAAATCGGATATTTCTTCCTCGAAATAAATAAAATTTCGATTATTCACTCTCAGCTCAAAATTCATTTTTTCTACGGAAATATGCCGAACTCACGTGGTCTCCAGCTTCCAGTTGGCTTAGCTCAAGCAAAGTTTGCACTACAGAAAAATTTTTACTGGATTCATAAATGTTTCAGAATTTAATAATAATAATAATGATAGTAATAGTAATAATAATAATAATAATAATAATAAATGAACGAGAACCCCGAGAAGGAGGAACTTAGATGTTAAGGACAGGGATCTAGAAATAGAGAAGGGTCAAGCAGGACTTCCCTAGACTCAACAGCTATAGATGCTTTATTAATTGTCTTTATTTTATTTTTTTTTTTTTTAAACAGTTGAAAGAAACTTTTGAATTTTAGAGGCTGACAGTTTTTTTTATTGAAATGAAATGTTTTTAATTCGAATAAATTTTTTTTAGTTAAATTAACTCTTTCTAAGCTAAATTAAGTGCTTTTTAAATCGACAGGAATTGTAAATAGTGTTTTGAATGAATAGTTTTTTCTTTTTTTCAAGCGAATTAATTGTAAATAAATTTTAATAGTTAGCATTGTTGTCAATAAAATTTTTTTTATTATTTTTAATAATAATAATAATAATGGTTTATTCACAATATATCCATAAACTAAAAATATGGCTCTTCACCTGTGACTAACTACTAAAACTACACTATCTATAGCCCACTAATCTACTCTTCAATTGGTTATAAATTATCATCACTACAAAACTGTGAACAGTGAAATGATAATGAAACGATTTATCTCATATATCAACCGAAAGCGTTAACAGGAAGCTTGGAGGCAAGCAAGTGACCTTCACTTGCGCCTTTACCAGGGCTGTCACAACCCCCCACGTCATCAAATATTGAGAATTGATAGGGAAGAAATGATAGATGACGTCATATCACACGACAAATTACGTCATTTGGGCCAAAAATGCTCGTTGATTCCGATCGACGTATATAGCACATAAACAGTTCATATTCTTCAGCCGCATTATTGCTTAAACGTTAACGTTCCCGCAGTGGCTGAAACAACGTAAAATATTTGAAATTTTATGGTCGGAAAGTCGAGTGTACAAGAAATAGCAATTTTGGCGATTATCCGAGAGATATCAGACTTTAATCTGGAGACCGGGAGATACGGTTCAAATACAGTCCAAAATCTGCAGTCTTAAGTGTGACAAGGTCTGTCGTGCTACACAATTAACACACGCCTCTGTTACGCCAGTACATTGAAACGTCGTGCTTATTCCGTTTAGGGCTAAATTCATAAATTTTGGAGAAGTGTTGTCACCTACCGCTGACTTGATTTTTCGTTGGCACGACGTCTCAATTGAAGTCATGCTTCTGTTGACGCCAATTACAATTTAAGTTCGGCACGGCAGAAGCACGACGAATGAGCAGTGTCTCAGACAAAGGCGAGAAATACCATTTACTCAGCCATTGTTGCTGTAGAAAAATGAGATAGGAATTAAACCATTTCAGTGCCCCACCAGAAACTTCATAAAGCTCACGTTTCTCTAGTAATTACAAATTATCAATTTAAAGGCCTTTTTAATATCAAGGAAAACCTACCTTGTCAATTTTCCCTTATCCCTTGTCGCACAGTTAAATTAATGCTGAGACGGGGTTGAATGAAGAGGGCAGAATCCTTACTGGATTTAGAGAGAATAGAATTTCCCTTCACATGATGATATATACAATCAGTTAGTAAGAATAAAATGGAACAGTAAACCCCCATCCCCCCACCGAATCAAGGATGAAGCCGCGCGAAAGCTAAAACGCGCTATTTTTCCATCCTTGATTTGGGGGGAGATGGGGGTCTAGATTTTCCATCTGTTTTGTCCAACAATGTAGCTTCCGGGAAACCTCTTTCTCGAAAAATACTTTTGGCTATCGGCGCAACTGAAATCGAGTCTACAGTTTCCCTTCCCACGTCGATCGTTTTTTTTTTTGTATACAGGTCGTATACGCTCATTCATCAATACAGGCTCCAGTGAAAAGTAACAAGTTAAATAATAAATATGAAAGATTCGGATGATGGAATTATCCCAGAAGAAATTTTTAAGACCTTTCTAGGGATCTTATCCGGCAAGATCTCTTCTTGTCGACACGTTTACATGTGAATCTATATAGCGTGGGCACTAGTTTTGTACTGCTTTACTAAAAGACAGGCACAGAAAAAACATTAAGGTTCTCACTCCTGTCCTCGCTCGTTTTTTCTCGCGCCTTCCTTTCTTTACAACCGTCAGGACTAACAGTTAGACGCTGGAAGGAGCCATCTAGGATCAACTGAACAGAGAGAACTCCTCGGAACTACACTCAAACTACCCTGTGGCAGACATTTGCGTGGATAATTAACACAAAAACGAGAAAGCATCAACAAAGGCGCTGAAAAATAAGCAAATATTTGGTCGCACGTTTTGTTGAAAACCCTAAAGTCCGCTGCCTTTTTTTGTCAGTTTTTGTAAAGCTGTAGGTTTTTCTGACTGTGTACTAGTACGTAAAATCTTCAGGATTATCCTTGTACTGGAGAACAAAAAACGCACGCTCTAAAAAGTCGATCGGCTCTCATCAGTGTGCTTAGCAGGCTAGAATTATCATTTAGCGATTGACACATTTTCATTAAGTCAGTCATCGTGGCGATGTGTTTGCTTTATTATAGTGGACAGTAACCTAAGCGACGCATATAAGCGATAATAATAAAATATGCCACCCAAACCTTAAGTGAGTTTTTCTTGTGTGGCAACCACCTGTCTATAGCGACCAGGCGAATACCATGCAGGCGTCCTTTTAGAACTACCCAATCAGGGAAAAGCCCATTTCGAAAGTGAAGTAACTTACTCTCGATCTCCGGTCGCCCATATTGGATTTTTAGAGCCTTTGACTGAAATGTTTTAGCGGATTGTAGCCTTTGAAATTTCCTTTTGGTCAGTTGAATTGGGTATCCGTCACTGCGGTAAGTTTTTTCATCAACAGTAATTTATCTAGGGTGCTTTTGATCAATTTAAACTTTAATGGCGTCAAGTTTGGGTTAAAAAATATCCGCTAAATTTGAATTTCACCCAGATACCATTTGGTTTTCTAATTTCTTCGATTTCTTTAACTTCCTTATTTCTCTGTGAATCCTCAACTTCTTTTATTGGATTCTTTAACTGAAAATGAGCGACCTATATATCGAGTAATAATATTAAAATAAATAAAATCTTCTGACTATCAAATGTAGATTTGAGTCACAGAAAGACTGAAATTTTACGGCTGAACCTTTGGTGTTGAATATCCAATATATTTAAGAAGAACATTAAAATATTGAACATGAAACTACAGTTACAAGAGACTCGTATAAATGTAAATAAATACACGAGACTAGTGCAAAAAATGATTGCCATGTTTTCCGTGAATATCGGGAATATCACTGTTTTGTCTCAGCGGAAGTGCGTCACCATTGTTTGATAAAGGTGAAATCATATTCCACGGGGAGAGCGTGATTGCACACACTCACAATCACAATGTGGTTACCGGTAAGTGGGTTATTTCTTCCGCGTTGCTCTGTAAGTCTTATAATTGCGAAGCGCACGGACCACTTTATAGTATAAGAGGTTTTTATTCCAACATGAAACTTTCTCTACTCTCGGTGAAGGTTTTCTATCGAAAGAAACCGAAGTTTAAGGAGCGGCGAAAGAGCAGCAAAAGTAAGTTGCGTTACGCGAGTTGTCACTACATAAATACTCCTTTTAATACTTGTAAATTATCTTGTTTATTTTTTCAATGCAGAAAGAAAAGAGGCTCGCTCCAAATCAAGCCCGAATCTCCCTGCTGCAATGGACAACACATCTGGCACCGAGGCAGAAATCAACGAGTCTACGAGCTCGATGAGTTGTTCCATCAATGAATTCGAAACGTACGTATGCTTGCCAAATCTTTCTGGCATTAATTATTTCATGCATGAGTACACTTCATGTTTCTGCCAAATATTGGCTAATGCTCTGCTCTGGGTTTTATAAGATTTGCAGATGAAGTGAATGGTGAAATTCCCGAGGTAGACTTCAGAGGGAAAGTAAGAAGGTTTGTCCAATTATTTCGCTGTTTGTTATTCACACTACCTGCAAATGTATCTCAAACATTTATATTGTCGAAATCACTCGCGTGGAGAAATGGCTTTTGAAACGAAAAGCTGGTGATGGTGTAAAAGATTATCAATCCAGAGGAACAGAGGAAGTGTTAGCGTTTCAAACATCATTTTTTGTTTGTTATGCTGCGTCCCTCACAGCGTCATAATTTACGCTATGTTGAGCATTGTTATCAACAAGCGTGTTTTCTCTTTGTTCTTCCAGCGAAAAGTCCTTGTCAGACCTGGATGAAACTTCAAGTGCACTCACTCAGGTACATTCCTTTCATTTGAGTAATTGAAGTTCTTTGTTGAAGTGTTTCTAGGAAAAGACTCTCTTTAACCGGAAGTTAAATATCAGCCAATGCGCTCGCGCGACGTTCGCGGCAAGCTGGTGGAGTGATCTTGACGTGTGATGAGCTCACGCATGAGCCTATTTGTGATAGGCTCCTGCAATGGGTCACGCGAATATGTGGTCCGATTGAGACCGTACTTTGACCGACAGTAAATAAAAGCTTCGAAACCTCATAAATCTGCTTTCTTGCTCGTGTTAATCTTCTGGGAAGGAGCGGTCACGGAATGGAAGAGGACATTTTCTTGTAGCCCTCTTCTGGCTTGCTAAAAATGTTGTCGATCAAAGTTTCTCGCCTGGATGACTGTTAGTGCCCTCATACAAAACTTGCGGAATTATGCAAAACGAAGAAGAGAGTGAAAATCGGGTCAAGCGTACAAAAATGCGATTTTCCCTCAGATCAAAGACTAATAAAAACCTAACTCGAAGAAAAATTTCATATCTGCCTTGGATTTTTAATCCAATGTTGAAGGTTTATAATCAGGTAAGGTAGTTTCAAAACAAATATGTACAATTATGCAAAATCAATGCGTTGAAACAGGTGTCTAAATGTTTAAAACGTGTTAATGTGAATTAGTTGTCATAGTGAGATATACATCAGACCGCTGGGGAATTTGTCACGTATAGAATTTCAATAACCAAAATGTACCCTTTACATCTAAGACCCCCATCTTAAGGTTGTGCAAGGTGGTTCAAATTGTTGTTTTTCCTTTTTCATGCTAGGTTATAGTTATTTACAGAATCTTATTCTTGCATTAATGTTACTCTGATCATCAAATTTTGCTTGTTCACTTTTAAGTTTGTAATCCATAAAAGCTGAGTAAAAGGGATAACTAGTGTCGGTAGGCGGCCGGGCTGGCCTGCTGATTAAGAAGTCACCTCTTCAGTCCCCGGGCAAGATCAATACTCTGGGTCTTAAGTTACAAGGGAAGAAGATACTTCCTTTGCCAAAACAAATAGACCTCTCATGGCAAGGATGGCTATGGAGAAATCGTGGTCCCATCTTCAGTTAGAGGTGTAGAACAGTGTCTTTAATTAGTACTTACATGCTAAATACACTGACACTTTGATGGAAGGACAGACTTTAAGTAGTAGTAGAAAGTTGTTCTCCATTGGCTTAGCCTTAATCTAAATCAGGAACAACCTTCACATTGTTTTACTTGGTTACACTCTTCACTATGTGTCCAATCCCAGGTGTAAAAAAAGTAACTTAATATTGTTTAATAAATTATTGTTAGAATGCACTATAACAGGCTATAAATGCAGAGAGAAAGGATGCCCTCCATATTAGTTGAGTCACCAATATTGGTCCTCGAAGTAACATTTTTAACAATACATAATTAACCTGAAGTCAAACTATAACTAGGTAAGGGATAAAAGGACTCAAATTTACAAGCTCAAATTGAGCTGTATATACAAGTTTAACTTTATATTCCCAGCGTCGTCAAATTAGCACCTAGTTGAACACTGTTTAGTAGCTTAGTAACACATCAGTCTAAAATTGAATTTTAATTATGTGTTGTTCAACAACTTCCTGTTTTATCACAAACAACCTTCAAAATTTGAGGTATGATATGAGATTGGGGACTTAAATATCTTATAAGTTATTTGCTGCTGCACACAACCTTTTCCCAGGGTTAACAATATAATAATATTTATCTATGTTTGAAAAAACATTTGATGTGTTCTTATCAGGTGAGGTTTTAGCTGAGACCTGATAGGTTGTTTTGGATCAGTTGTTCCTTATTTGCATGTGATTCATGACTTAGCATTTTTTAATTGTGTACTTTTACTAATAATAATTGCTCACAGTGTGACGTAATTTTTCTGATTTTCTGCTTGATTTATTTCATTTATGGAATGTGGTTTACCACCAAGCAACATTTTTTGCAACTTGCCTTACCAAAGCTGAAAATGTGGTCATTATTTAGAGGGGTAGGGTAGCAGAAGATCAAGAAATGTCATGTTCAAATAATCCTTACTACTTGTCCACCTTCCCCTCACCTCCACACTCAGTTCCCGTCTTGTGTGCTTACCCACTCTTAAATTGTCCAGCTCCTTTTTTCATTGCAAGAAAATTAGCAACCTTCCTTACCCTCTAGGTTTCCTACAGCTTGTTTGGCAATGTTGTGTGCAGTTAAATAGTACAATGTACTGTGTTATGTATGAGACTACTACATGATGGGAAAGAAGGAGAAATCAGTTTATGTCACACAAAATTGTTGCATGCAAACATTGTTATCAACATGTAAAACTATTTACGTGCTTCAAAAATGCTGGTACAGTGCTGGGTGACTTATTATATTCCAAATACTGGAACTAATGTCTTCTTTTTATAATGCTTGTGCCAAAAGAAATAAAATTATTGTTTTTACATTACCAGCACTAAGCATTTAAAAATTTGAATACAAGTTGCACAACTTAATTGCCTATTTGTGTAACAGGGCCTTAAATGAAACTAAGAGAAACTCACTCCTAAGACAAAATTTGTAGAGTGGAAACTCTCCTAGCGGACAGATTCGTAAGCAGGCAGCTCTACTTACGGCCACCTTCACAGAACCCTATTTTTCTCAATTCCTATACAAACTCTGTATATTTAAATTCCCGTAAGCAGCCAGCTCCAGCTACGGAAACCTTTTTCACATTCCGAGGATGTCCACTTACAAGAGCTCCACTGTAATCATTTATTGACCTAAGTTCAATAATTTTTCTTTAATCATTATTTTTGTTTCTTTTTTTTTTGTACAGTCTCAAATAATTAAAGCTGACAGGACTCCAAACTTTATCAAGGTGAGATTTTCCAATAATTCTCTAATTTTCCATTTAACTGTTACAGCAGTGGGACAAGTAAAACCTTGAATGCTGGAAATTTTCTCTGGAATGCGACATATTGTTACCATGTATAGGGGTGGCGAATGGTACCTCGAAAAACTTGGGTCTCGGAAAATTTTGGCAGGATCTCGAGATCTCGGAAGCGTCGTTTTTTCATGGTTTGCTTTTACTTTTTTTGAGTCTCGAAACTTTTCACCAAAGAGTCTCGGGCTCGGATTTCTAACTAGGATCTCGGCGTCTTGGCGAGTCTCGAATTTTACCATTCGCCACCCCTATGTATGCCCTTCATTGCCCATGCTGTTTTGGTTGTGTTAACGGCGTGTTATTGGTTACAGTTTTTAGTTTTAAACAAATGCAAGGACTTGTGAATATTACCAAACTGTTGTCTGAAATTAGACTGGATTACTACCGCCAAGTTGCCTTGCTATAACTGGATATAGTGACTTTTCAGGTTCTTTATAGACAAGCTTTCCATTTTCTTTTGACTCCAGCTGCCTCCCTATGGCTACAGTTGAGCTCACAAGCATTCATTATTTTCATTGTCACCATTTCAAATTTTTAAATCATTTGTTGGGGAAAAATTAAACTGTTTCCAAGACTGTTGTACGTTCATTCTTTTTCATATAAATTTTCGTGTGAAATTATTATTCCAAGGATTTCTCTTTTAATTATTATTATAACTTATTTGGATTTCTAGTGTAAAGTTTTTACGTTGGTGAGAAAAAATATAATTATCAAAAAACCATTTCCATGCTAACAGTTCGTACTTTAGAATTATGACTGTACACAGCAAATCAGTGGACTCCAATGAGCATCATATAATAAGGCATTTTTACTGGTGCAAAATTTAAACTGTTGCATAAGAGTAATTTTGTTCATTGTAACTGTAGTTTACATTACAATCTTGCATACATAATTCAACATTGAAAACATTATTGCACTTAGAAAGCAGTTCTGGTAATCTATCATATACATGTATCTATTTATAACATACTCCCAATTATAGCTTTTCTTTAATGACAGGTTATTCAAGTAAAATCTGTTTAAATATTTCTCATTTTGCATAAATTTTTGTTATTCCAAAAATCTGGCAAGCTATTGCTAATTAAATGTTCAACTAAAAAAGATATTTATTTCTTTCTCTGTGTGTATCATGATTAAACTCTGGTGAATTGTTGCAAATTACTACTTGATAGAAGTACCACAAGAGTAATATAATCTGAATATTTACTGTAAGTATTTAGCCCTTCGAACCCCAACATAGTATCAATATACAAACTCTCTAGACTGATCCTCATACATTTCCTTAATGTATTAGTTCAGAGAATTTGATAAAAGATCAAAGCATTTTTCCTTTGGTGATCATAATTTTTATTAATTCTCATAACTTTCGCCTGATAATGTATTAATATTACTAGGAGAAAATTGATGGTGGTCAGTGCTGGGACTTAGAGGGTTAGTAAATTATTAACACAAAATTAACACTAACAGGTGGAATTGGCACCAGACAAAATTGACATTTTTATCATGCTCATTCTGTACTTAATACGTTAGTAAACTTTACAATATCAATGATTCAGTGCATCTGGAAGTTAATATTTTCTCCACAATGATGTGTTGTGAGAAAGTTTGATGCCGTCTTATTAAAACGTTTTGCTTTGAGTTTTCATTGTCTCCGCAGTAATTTGCCTGGATGTAGTTTGCATATCAGTTGTTTATACAGAGGTATCATATCTCAGTATATGTTTTTGACTCTACATGGAAACTCCATTGAAAGAACATAAAATGAAAGATCGCTGTTTTGTTTTTCACAGCTCATTTCTATTGTATTTTCTCACAAGACAAACCATTTACTTTATGGACCTTTCTGATTCACCTCTCCACCTGCCCTATTTAGCTGACCAATCACATTGTGTTTTGCTCTCCCTGTGGTCTCCTGTAACTACACAAAGGTTTATTTTGAACTATGAATATATTATCTGCTGAGAAATAATTTCAAAGGACTGGTCCTTCCTTTCAAGCGATTCAGCAGTATGTTTCTTGCATATTTTAACATGACAACCCTGAGAAAATTCAGGCAAATTCTTTAAGAGTCATGAGTCAAGGAAAAAGAAAATTAAGAAGACACAGTAGTGTTTTTGGGAGATCTAAGGACGATACCTTTAAAGCAACAAGCAAAGGAAGACGCAAAGGACAAGTCTTACAGAACAGATGGGTAAAATTTCCTTGTTTACTTAGAACCACCTTAGATACTTGAAGTTGGAAATGTTGCCTCAATAATTTGTGAGATTTTGACAAAATTGATTTTCTCATAGTTAAAATGTGATTCTTTCAGAATGAATTTTATCGCACTCAGAGTTGTATTTCTCAATAATCCAAATGCCCCAAAAAAGAAAGATAATAAATATAAATGTACTGATTTTGTTGAGTGTTGCATGAAGTATGATATTATTACCAGCACGTGGTGGATCACAGGGAGAATTTTGCCGTAACTGTAAAACTTTAAGGAACAGAAGAGTGCTTGTGAAATGTAACAGTGGAGTTGTATGAGAAGATTTCCAGTTATTGACTTTGTACATTCCTATTGGAAATCACCTGACAGTGTTGAATGGTATGTTAATGAATGTGTGTCACTTTCAAAATGTCTGATGTAGCTCTAATTCAGATGCCTTGTCACACTTTGGCTCAACTCATTCTCAGGATGGTTTGGATATCCCCGTGTTTGGATTGTAGTGCCATTAATTATTTATTTACATGGAGAAAGCCTGTATGAGTGGAAATACCTTCTAGTACTCTTTGTAACCCTTTTTAGTTTTTCACTATTTTTTTCTCTGTTCTTTTAAAAAATGCATCCAGCATACTATGAGTTTAATTTTTTTGTTATTCTTATGGTGCACAAAATTATTCAGTCATGAGACATTGAGCATGAAGTATTTATGCACAATTTGTTGCAATAAATGCATTGTAGGTCTTGGATCCTTTTAGTGCCATAGTTTTGTTTATATTTGCAGTTTGAACAGTATGAACAGATTTACTTTTCATTTAGTTATGTGAAAATTAATTTTTTGCGAAGTTTTTTCTTTTACACAGACCTGCAAAGTGTAACTAAATGCAATTCAGTGACTTTTAACGCCAACTCATGTAATGATTCTTAATAATACCTCAGTACTCATTGTTAATTCTTATATTGAAGCTATTGAACAGTAGTTCTACCTGTCGTTTCTTACGTAAACAACTTTTCTGCTTTGACATATGATTCCACTGGCTTCTCAACAATATTATTATTATTATTATTATTAATCTACTCGTCACTTCTTGTGTATTCAAGTTTTCTGTTTTCATTGGCACTTGCAAATTCTTGAACACTTGCTTGAAACTGTACATTTCACAAAAATGTCAAGCTTCATACAGCAGCATAGATTAAATAAGTCTTAGTGAGGATAATTAAAAAAACAAAGAAAAGAAAAGAAAAATTCTAATTGCCTAAAGCTGTTTGCTTTGAGGCAAAAGCAGTCATGTGCGGGAAGAAGTTTGAGATTATTTTTTACAATACGTGGCCGTGGTGTCTTTTCGTTTTTTTGTTTTTTGTTTTCAAACTTAATTGCCAGTTTGTAACATTTACCATAAAAAAATATTAAACACTTTTTTTATTTTTCTATTTTTTCATGACTATGACCAAAAAAATCATAATCTTCAAGTAATTTAGGTTGTCAGTTTTGTGAATGACAATCCTTTGAAATTGCATATGATAATTAAAGTCAAGCCACTGTTGTTTATCAATTCTTGCCTTTTAACCAACTCTTCTTTCTCAGTATATCTGGCACACATTAGAAAATAAGCTGAATAGGCATATTGATTTCCCAGAAGATACAACTGTGAAAAAGAAATTCAGCTCCTCATTTATCTGTTATTTTGCCCATGTGTTTCAGAGGTGGTAATAACCAATTTGAGATGATTTTTAGGTTGGTGGAGTTTGTTTTCAGAAAACGTGCTGTTTTAAATGTCAACATGCTCTTGTTCAAAACAAGAATGCATGAAATATTTTTTTGAATAGCAGAATTAATTGTTCCATTGTGTTTAGAACTATTTTAGGGTGAAACTGTTGATGTGTCGCATCACTTCATTAAAATGACAATGAGTTATCAGCAAACTGTCCCTGGTTTACTTTAATCTTTTGTTTTTTACTCCTTTTGAAGTGATCAATATCTATGTCTATTGTTGTAGTGTGTATATAGTGTATCACAAGTTCATACTAATAATATTCATATTGTTGCATAAATTTTAAAGTTAATTTCTGAACAGGCTTTTTTGAATACCCAGGATCTTTGTAATTGATGCCCATTGATGCCCTTGTCAGTTGGTTCTCTAACAATAATAACTCACATCAAAACATGCCCTCAAATTATTAACTGAACACTAAATGGTTTTCTGACCTGCTGCTGTTATAAGAAGTTTTAATTGTTTTTCTCTTTCTTCTTCAAGAAGACAGGTTGTTTAGTATGTTAGTTTGTTGCGTCCACTGTGAGCAATTTATCGTTGGTGTGAAAAAATGATAAAGGCAATAATAACTATTATTTTTTAAAAAAGTATAAATTTGTTTTATGGGAGAGTCTAGGCAGGTAAAATTGTTTATTATTCTGCAGATGATGTTCTTTTTTCTGTGAAAGTATGCTAATGTAAATTTTTGGAAAGTTTTTCTAACAATTAGTTGAGCTTGCTTTGGCAGAGCGAGACTCTAAAAATGCAAGCGTTTCTTTTTCTTTTCATTTATTTTGTGTGTGTGCATACGGAAAGGGGAATCATGGTTCCAGGCGTTCCTAGTGGAGACTGTGGAAACTGGGGATAAGAATCACAACATGTCAGTGCTCCATGCATTTTTTGTGAAGAACTGAAGCTTACAGAAGCTTTAATAGGAAAGATTGATGTGAAAGATGTCGAGCTAATTTCCGGAATGGGTCGGTCCATGAATTCTATCGCTTGAAAGTGCTGATTTCTTTAGAACAAGTGGATAGTTCAGTGGTTGAAGAAAAAAAGACTCTTTGTGAGCAAAACTTTGATGGTGACTAAAGGCTAACTTGTCAGGTGTGCTCAACTTTCACTGTATGCAAATTGAGTCTTGTGATAAGCCTGCGGTTCATTTTTGGCGATGATTGAAATAACATGCCAAGTTCATCACGTTTGAGTTCTTTGGCAATTATGTTATTTCTCTCATATTGAGGCCTTTGATTTTCGTGTATTTATGCACCCATACAGAAACAAATCGTGGAATCTGATATAAAAAGTGAATATCCTGAAGAATACTTGACCGTTGATAAAGCAGGCTGTGAAAAACTTTTAGCGGGGAAATCCTGTTTGTAGAATTAATCAGCTCCTCATTTCTTATATAATCCAAGCAAGCTTAACTTAATGCTATTAAAAAGCGTTTTTGTTATTATGAGAGAAACTTTGCTCTCTTTCTTTTTCCTTCTGAAATGTTCTTCATTTTCAATAAAAAGAGGCACAAATAACAAAGTGTTTTTTTAAATACTTAGAGAGTGAATGGAAGAAAGTAGAACATTAAGACCTGCATATTCAAAGCTGCACAATAGTTTGCAAATTTGCGTATTTAACTGTCGTGATCTTCTCTGCATTTAGTTTCAAGGGGGGATGGGGGAAGGGGCAAGCGATATGTGAAATTTTACATTTTAGACGGCTTTGCTCCCCATGTCTAATAATTTATATAATTTTTATTAGAACCTTCCTCAGTGAGAAAACCAACAAATAAAAAAATATATAAGAACGTTTTGACTTCATGTGTCAAATGTAAAGAAAGAGGGTTTAGGGGTAGATATGTGAATAGCTGAAACTGAAATGTAGCATGTTTGCTGTGCTTTCACTTGCAGTCACTTCTTTCTACACGTTCTCCTTACGATGAGTTTCATCGTCTCTTTAAAACTGTTCCCAAGGACCAATTTCCAATAAATGGTAAGCTGAAGTTCTTTTTGTTTTCTTGATTGTCCTATTCTACATTCATTCCCAGGGGGGGGGTGCTACTCTGGGGTTCAAGTGACAGGGATGATCGCAGGATTTTTTTGGGTTTGAAATTTTAGATTGTGGGATTTATTTGGGTAGGATAATTTGACAAGTATATTTTTGGGTGGCTTGATTTAAGAAGGGATTTAAGAAGGTCGTAGCTTCAACAGTGTTTTCAATATTACTTATACTGTCAGACCCTGTCAATATGGACACCGAGGGGGCCATAGAAAGTGTCCATATTAATGGGGTGTCTGTTTTAAGCAGGTCGAATTTAGAGAAAGTGTAAGCGCTTCCTTTCCCCAAGGACAAAGCAAACTGTCTGTAATAATGAGGTGTCTATATTAAACAAGTGCCCGCTGTAAAGCACGGACACTGAGGGGCCATAGAAAATGTCAGTGTTAACAGAGTGTCCATTTAGAGAAAATTTAACAACTGTGTTGCTTAGTGGAGGTGGGTGCCCGGGATGTCCAGGGGCTTCCACAGCCAGCCCCTAGACAGAGTTATACCCCCATGGCTGGCAAACCAGCACCCTCCAACCATGAGCCCCCACGCCAATAGAACCAGGCACCTGTCACACTGATTTATCAGTGAAAAAATAAGGTGGGGGATGGGGGTAAAGGAATGATCCAAAGGCTAAACGAAGAGAGTGCGTGGCTGCCAGGAAAATATTGTACTGAGCACATGGAGGTGATGCAAGCAAGGCTGATCACGCTTGAGCCAAATGACTGACCGCTGACCAGCAAACTCTCTGTAATAATGACATGTCCCTATTAACCCTTTAAGTCCCAATATCCACATACAAATTCTCCAAACTGATCTCTATACATTTCCATAAAGAATGTGTTGAGAGAATTTGATAAAAGATCAAAGCATTTTCTCTTTGTTGATCATTTTATTAATTCTCATAACCTAGTCTCTTGACAAATTATGGATATCATTAGGAGGAAATTGATGTTGGTCACCTTTGGCACTTAAAGGGTTAAGTGAGGGTCTGGAAAGTGGGGTTTGGCTGTGTTAAGAAAAATCCAAGTGGAAAAATAACCTAGACTGATCAGGTATCCTGTTCAGGATGATGCAGAAACCATTGCATCATGTTCTTTTTTATTGCTTTGATTCATAAAACCAACCTTTCATTTTCCTTGTTAGATTTCAGCTGTGCTTTAAGTCGTGAAATTTTGCTCCAAGGAAGAATCTATGTAAGCCAAGGATGGGTTTGCTTCTATTCAAATATATTTGGCTGGGAAACACAGGTATGGACCTTTGTCTTTGTCATTTCCTTATTGGTTGTGTGGGCCACAATCTAGTGTTATTTATTTATTATTTTGATCAAATTGTTGTTTTTTTTTTCAAACCATCTCTTAAAATACAATTTTAATGTGAATGTGTCTGTTTAATGTCATTTGCTTGGCTTATTCAATTTAACTACAGGTAACGATTGACTGTAAAAAGATCCAGTCCATCACAAGAGAGAAAACTGCCTATGTTGTGCCCAATGCTATACTGATATGTACTGAGGAAGAAAAGGTAAATTTTTGAGACAAGAAAATATGTAAATAAAAATGTGAACTGCCTCCTTAAACTTTGCACTTTTCATGCATATTATACCCAACATGTGGTTCTGACTTTTGATGGTGTGGATGAAATCTTGTGTTAAAACCTCTTCAGCTTGTACTACTGCATTAATGTCTTCACCATCTTTAGAGCAGTACATTTTGGGATTTTTCTTTAGTTTGAGCTTTTGTCTCTGGGATATTGAGAGGTTATTACTATCAACACCCCACCCCCTCTCACTGTTATTAACTACAGTACAGTCACTGTATATGAGAGAAATTTTATTTTTGGAAAATGCACGACGTTATTTAGTTCATTGGTAACAGTGTTTCTAGTATATTTCTTTTCAAAGTGATCGGGCAATCATAGCAAACATCTCATATTCCTAAAATAACATGATGGTAATTTCAAACCACAGAATTATCATAAGTGGAGTATGATATCTATCCTTTGTGTCATGTTTAAATTTTTAAGTTTACAATAAAAAAAAATTTTCTATTAAAACTACATGTTATTGTCTTAGATATAAGACCAGTCAAAATGTTACATGTCATGGCATATTTAATTATGATGGATCACAAACAATAATAATTTTTATGCTGTCTAACAGTTTAAAAACATATTGCTGATAATAATAATTTTTGATTACAGCACTTCTTCTCTTCATTCTTGTCGAGGGAAACTGTATACAAGCTTCTTGTTCAAGTTTGGGATGAAGTGAAAAACAAACAACAGGTTAGTATTAATGATAATAATAATAATAATAATAATAATAATAATAATAATAAAGAAATTTAAGAAGATTAATAACTACTCAGAACTGGGAGTAGAAATTGCTAGAGTATTGAACTTGTTGAGAGAAGTAGTTCCTGTGGTGATTGGTGCCCTTGGCTCCATTCCTAAGAATTTGCATCGCCACCTTGAAAGTCTTGGGATTAAAGTGCATGTCTCGATGATGCAGAAATCAGCATTGCTTGGTACAGCTAATATCCAGTGAAAGGTGCTTCTTTCTGAGGTCATTGACTTGATAGACAGAACACTTTATGTCAAGGGCTCCAGTACCAATAATTATTAATGTTGAGGATAATGATGATGGTGATGATGATGTTGATAATAATACTCCAAAATTTAAATTCATACTTGGCTCAGAGGCTTGCAGTAATAAAAGAAGGGTATCAACTACTTGTGCTTCAGGAATTCTTTTGTTTTATTTCCTAAAGCCTAAAAATCAAGTATGAATAATATGTATTTTAGTTTATCAAAATTTGGCCAGTCAAATGTAGGTATACTCCTGGCTGATTTTCTTGAAAGATGAAAAACAACCCTAAAGCAAAATAATTTTGTTGAGTGATGTGTGTGACTGTAATGTTTAGCATTAAAAAAATTAAACAATTAAATTATTTAAACATTTCTCAGTACCATGTTTGACAGAAAATTCAAGATGTAGGCAAAAACGTAAATACAGTGTGGTTAAATTTAAAGCTTTATAAGATCATCTCTTATTGGTATTTCTGTAATTTTTGTTATGGCGGTATGTAAAAGTTGAGTGCATGTTTTTAATTTTTTTAAATCAAATTAGAAGTCAGATACATCAAAAGAAGAAAATCAGGTGAATATCATCAAATTACGACTGCGCTATAATCATAATAATAGACTTGTTAATCAAATCAATTTTTTTGGTTTCACTTCCCAATGGATGCAACACCCCAGTTTGTTTGAATCTAATCTTTTCATTTAACCTTTTAAACCCTTATATCAAAATTTAAATTCTCATTTGTTGCCTTTATAATCTTCCCAGTTCCCAGTTCCAGAAAGTTAAAACATGGCTTTGTGTGAAATTGTAAACAAAAAGTGGCAAATATCATTATTACTTAATATATTATTAAAAGATGACTGGAAAATTTTTCCAAGAACTAACAAAATCATCTAACGCTCAGTAATTTAATATTATTAGGCCCTGTACGTACTACAACAAAAAATGGAGTCTGCCAAAAAAATGCAAAAAAATTTGAAAATTTGTGACTTGTTCTCACCTGAGACACAAGAAAGTTTTCCTGTAACCAAAAATATCACTTAAACAACAATAATTGGTCACATTCACTAAATAAGATGACCCGATGAAGGGTAGCTGTCAAGGAACAAAAGATTTTGTATCCTGACAATAAATTGGAGACCTCCAAATCTTCTTGATGCCATTTTTGAAGTTTGGTAACATTAAATTTTGTGAGATAATTTTGGTAGGTGAAAAAAATTGTTCGCCCTAGAAATGGCTTCCTGTTGACAGATTTTTTTTGCAAACAGGGCCATAATGGTAAAAAGCTGGGCATGATATATGTGGTTGGTAGAATTAACCCTTTAAACTCTAAGATCAAAATTAAAATTCTCAGTGTCTCCCGTATTCATTTACTATAGAAGTAGTGGGGAGAAGTTGATTAAGTATCAAGCAAATAGATCTTGTGTGATCATGTCCTTAATTCTCATTTCCACTATGTTTTAAAAAGCATTGATATTACAAGGAGAAATTGGATGCTGATCACTTTTAGGGTTTAAAGGGTTAATTACCAATTTTATTACTACCAAACCCAAAGGGAAACAATAATAACAAAAACCATGACTACAAACAAGCAAACAAGCAAATTTTATTTAACAAGTTCAATGGCTCCCTTCCAATGCAAATGCCAAATTCAACTCAAAGCAAACTTCTTCTATTGGTAATTTACTGCAAAAGAAATACTTGTATACTTCCAAGAACATTGTAACGAAACCTAATTTAGATGAATTTTGAACAATATCGCATTGAAAATTATGGCAAACAATATTAAATGTGTGTGGCAACTGACAGGTTTTTTATCCTTCAATACTTTTTGTTTTTTATTGTAATTTGTTTTGTTACTTACTGACTTATTTATTTATTTATTCTTTACTTTGTGCTGTTTATTAATATTGTTAATTTGTTGTCAATAAAAAAGTAGAAAATAAATAAATTAATAAATAAATAAACCACCACTACTTAACGTGTAGTTGTTTTCAGACTTGGAAGGTAATCAAAAGAGTACAGTGATTGAAAGCGAAGAAAGGAGTGTTAAATTAAGTTTCATCACCAGCTTCAAACATGTCTTTTGTCTTTTCTGGTCTGCACCACATAAAATAGCTGATTGTAATGAGTTTGCATATTTTATAGATGAGTGACCCATGTTCAGATGACCAGCAAACACAGGGCATAGATGGTGAACCTGATGCTAGAGAGGATACTGGTGAAAATGATGGTAATTTTTATTATTATTAATCTCTTACTTGCTTATTGACTCCTGTACAAACCACTTTAGCAATACATGCATGATCATTTAACTAGCTTGAAGTCAAACGCCCACAAATAATGTCAGCAGCAAACAGCAAATGTCAGATTCAATTTGAGAAACTCTCTCAAACTAGAAAATGAGCAGTTAAAAACAGCTCAGGGCTTATGGATAAAACTAATGTGAATCCACTGATTTCCATGAAGTTATAATGAATGGATAATGACAAGTAAAGGGAAAACTTGGTCTCTTGGTACAAATTCACGTTTGCCATTTGCCTGCGAAAACAGCCATCTCTCCTTGCTCCAATGCAAGAGATGTTTTACAGGAGTGACATCTGCACCTCAACAACAGAAATTCCCTAGCGGCAAAGAGCAAGGAGTGATGGCTGTATTTGCAGGCTACCGAAAAAGGAGCATAAGCTGAACAAGGAAAGACCCATTTTGTTCTTGTGGGAACAGTACAGGCAATTCCCAGCAGGCAAGCAAGTTCTATCTCCAGTCACAGTTTGTATTTCCCTATATGCCATGATTTGGATTTATTTCCGGATAAAAGGCTTGGAAAATGATTTCTAGAATAATTCTGTTTTCAGCTCAGAAAGGTTTTTAATGTCTTGAGTGATTTATAAATCTAATACAACACTCTGGTACTTTGGCTTAGTGCAGTAATGTGGTAGTTGTTTTATTTTTTTTATTTATTTTTAACTATACTGTAAATAAACCATTAAAAAGGATTTCACAAGACCATTCTTGCTGAAAACCATTTCCACAAAACAAAAACACCAAGATCTAAAGCTGAGACGATTTATGGGTATTAAACATGATATACTGAGTAATGTCCTAAAGTACTATCTTCAGAAAATTCCTAAATGTCCACAAATAAGTACCCCTCTTAAATATGCACCCAAACCTCATCCTAAATTTAAGTAAAGTGCCTAGTGTAAGAGTGTCTCTTCCCTGGTGCAAAATGTTTTTTCTCATGTCAAACCTTGGCTTACAGTCAGCAACTGTAAGGCTATCTGCAGTGGGAAGATGTCTGGTTTTTAATACCTATTTTAACTCAAACTGCTGTAGTGTAAACAATTTTGTTTCTTCATCTGGCACCTTTCTGTTTGAACATGGCATTGTCAAGAGTTAGGTTTCTTTGACAGATCAAATTTCTTCAGTCACCACAATTTCTTTTGAGATTTCATTGATGTACATATGGGCCCATTCTAACATTGGTTTGACAGGTTTTAATCAAAGTTTATTGTCAGTGTCTGATCGGTTCGGTGTCGGCAGTGAATAAACTTTGCTGAACTTATTACTTCCAGAATGTAATGAGGACCACTTAAGCTGCTCTGCGGAACATGGAGAAGACACATCAGGATGCGTTGAGTGTCAACAGGCTAGACAAACACCAACAGACAAGTTAACATATGATGAGACAGACATGGCGTTAAATACATCATCTCTCCCTGATAAAGACCAGCTGAACCCCTCGGAATCCTCGAGAATTTCTGGCTGTGGTAATAAAATTGTACTATAAAATTAATGTGGAGATGAGTCATAATATTTGGAATACCAATACCTGTGGGAGGGTGGGTCCCAATAGGTTTTTCAGGATCTGGGATATGTCTTTTATATGCCCAGGATTTGGGATTTTTTTAGAGGAAAGGGAAAGAACAATTTGAAACTCTTCTATGGATTGGATGGGATTTCATTTTGCCAGTTTAGCAATGTGGATAATTAAGCCGAAGAGCATTTTGCGCATTTGGCTCAAATTCGACATAGGCTTTTTTCTTCAACCCTTCAATTTTATTTTAATCCAGACCACCATTATTAATGTCAGGAATCATTAATTTTATAAATCATTGTTATTCTTTGTATAATAATATTAATCTTTCTGACAGAGTAAGAACTGATGGTATGATTTACTTGATAAACTAAGTTATTGAGACCTTGCTTTTGAACTGAATTTATTTTTGTGTTTCAGCTGGTATTGCAATGTTCCTAGCTTCAGTAGCTGAGACTGTGTATTCATATTTGCAAGTCAGTTTTAGATTAGTTCAAAGGTGAGTCATGCCAGATATAATTGCCAAAATTAAAAAGGTGGTGGAAAAAACACTGACCCCCAATCCATGGACTACCCATATGCAGGGGCGTAGCTCCCATATATGCACATATATGCACATACGCCGGTGCATACATGTACACCTGAAATTCTGGAAAAATACACGTATTATATATGTCTTATTTTGTGAAAAAGCATTTTTTATCATTAAATTAGGACGACTGATACATTTTTTGAACTACACTGTCTTTTGGTGTCCATGTGTTAGTATTTCCTTTATCCTTTTATTCAGATTCCATAATTCTGTGGAGTCCCTGGCCTTTTTTTCCCAGGAACACTGTACCTTACCGACAACACTAGAGATGAGTAAAATATACAACTACCTACTGCATTTCCTGCATATTAATTTGCTGAAATGTCTGGTGGAAAATGCTGAAAGTGGCATTTCTGAGACCCTAAATTTAAGAACTTTCCAGCAGAGAAAAATCTCACGCTATGCCCCTGATATGGACTACCCTAAAATGGACTACGCTGCTGAAGTTTAGTGGTTAGGTTTAGGATACTGAGTTAATCAGCTTCCATTTACACATACTGTAGGGTCCTTATACTAGGAAAACTGACCTGAAACTTGATTCACTCACTTTCCTAACCCTTATCACTTCATTGACCACTCCAGAAACTACCATAACATACCATAATGCTCTTTGTTTGTCACCCCCAACTTTTGCATAAGAATTGTCTTCAGTTTCTCTTGGGAGTTAAAATGGCCCCAAGAGAAACTGAAAACAATGCTTATGCAAAATTTTGGGGTGACAAACAAAGAGCGTTATGGTATGTTATGGTATTTTCTGGAGTGGTCAATTCAGTGGCGTAGTCCATTTTAGTGTAGTCCATATGGGTAGTCCATGGGTATAGTGCTTGGTCAGTGTTTTGTACCCCACCCTCTTGATTGGTAGACTGCAAGTAAGCTCTCCATTTTTAAGAGGCTAGTGAACCTAGCTTACGCTGCTTACATGTATCTTCATAATTTCTTCCTTATGGAGAGCTTGATGACTGGCTATGTGTTTGGAGGAGTAGCAGTCTCATAATACAGGCATCATTTAAAGGTTACCATGCAACAGTCCACCCAAACAATAGTAGTATTGGATACTCAGCAGAGTTATAAGTGGTGTGGTCATGGTTAACTGATAAACTGGGTGTTGAGCCATACAATGTAATTGTGAGATGAAGCCCCCCTGCTGCCATGTAACCTGTGAGCAATCTCTCCAAGGCACTTTGGCGATGGGGCAGAAAAGGAAGGAGTCAGCTTGCAACTATGTCTACGGAATTTGAATATCTGCGTCGTAAAAGTTGATGCAAAATGCTGATTGGCGGAGATGACATTAGCAATGACATCACTACCATTGGCACAGGTTTTTCAATTATGTTTGTTTACATTCGTGATTCACACTTGTTTCCGCTTTACGCTAATTGGCGTAAATCTGACAGCTCAGTCGACGGGGAGCCACAGGGGAATTGGTAGTGGAATTCAAATTCCAGAGTCATAGTTGCAAGCTCTCCTTCCTTTACCATTTGAGTAGTTCTTCATGTAGATCTTACATGGGGCACACTACCTCAAGTGAATGTAAGGTTTACCTGAAGCTCTACCCAAATGGTAATTTGAGAATATTATGGTATTTTTCGCAGTGGCCTATAGGCTTTGTAGATTTTTGGGTCATGACTGGTGTAATATAATTTATTCATTTTCTTTGTTTTATGGGCTATTGTCAGGGTTAGGTTCATTGTTAGGGGTGTTTTGTTTTCTTTGTTTTATGTCAGCTGTGAGTTATAAATTATATTACACCAAAGATGAGCCATATTTTTTGACAAGGCAAATATCTATATGCTAAAATAAAAATTTGTTTACTAAACAGTACTTTTGTCTTTAATTAATGTTTAGGCTTTCAAGAGAACAGCCATTTTATATAGTAACTTCTATTATGTAAGTATCTACCTGAACAAGTGAATTTTGTAGTACTCGCTGGAAGAAAATAAATAATGAAGGCCACAGTTTTCTTGGCAGATGCCATTTAAACAGATCAACCACAAGTGAAATTTTGTTACATATTAGTGGACATGACAAAGAAATTTAAAAGCTGACGTTTTGAACACTAGCTTTTTGCTTACCCTTTCCTTTGCTTGCCTTTTGCTTCTGTAACTCATTCTCTAGGCCTTGAAATGCAAGCACTCAAATATTGCAAGCACCAATCAAGCTCTCTTTTTGAGCTCTGTTAAAAGCATTAGTAGTGACTTTTTGTGCATACAGACATATATCAAAGTAAGCTTGCCCGGTGGGGTTTGCCTTCAACCTGGAATCCGAAGTCTGGAAAAAATCCACGCTGAACACTGAAATGACTCTGAAGTTTAGTGATATATAGGGTTAGGAAACCGAGTGAACCTTTCAGATCAGTTAACCCAGTATAATGATCCGAAATGGACCTATTCACTCAGTTTCCTAACCCTAATCACGAAACTTCCGTCATTCAACATTCGGCGTGAGTTTTTTCCACATTCCGGATTCTGGGTTTTAGGGAAACCCTGTGCGGTAAGGTAACTGGAGTGGTAGAAAAGATTTGCCTCTATGGTCAGGGAATACTCAGTTGCCCCTCAGAAGTTGCTCTTGCCTATGTCCTCTTGGTTTGCTTTGCTTCCCAGTTACAGCTGAGATCCCTAGCACACAGTTGTAATGGCCCAAAAAGATAACTTACTTCTCCTTGGTTAATATTCCTAGGGAATACCCCATGCTGTCTGCCAGCTGGGTGTTGACTGACATCTTCTTGTAATCTGATCATTTGTCTTGCTCAGTCGCTTGATTTGCTGTTTCAATTCCCTCCCTCCCAACCTTGGGGCTTCTCTCGAGTCCTCAGGGCCTTGGTTCCTTCATTGAAGATGCCCAAACAGATTCACTGGCTTGTTGTTCGCTAAGGTGTGCGGGGGACACAAGGGATTAATATTTTATGGAGAAAAAACTAAACTTCACCTGTTTTATCTCCACCTCTGAAACAACAACACCACCAACTGAGTATTTTCTAAAAGTTATTTTTTTATGTTGGGCAGTTAATTCTCTTTTAATTGCCATTCTTAGGACTTTGAGGTTCCAAATAATGTTGTTGCTGTTGAAAATTATCCTCTTCTTAGCTATGCTCTGTTGCACTTGGCGTACTTAATATTTTAATCACCTTTTGTCATTTCAGGATACTCTGTTTGATGATGTGTAGTTTTTTCCTGTTGCATCGTATCTCTTTACTGGAACCAAAGATCATGGCAAAAACAGCACATGCCCCTGAAAAAATTCTCCTGTGAGTTCATCATTCTGTTCTAAAGTTAACATGTCACATGGGTTTTAATTGAACATTGGTTTTATAAAGTCAAGTAGCATTGTGTATATGTATAATAGACAGATTCACTAATTAGCATTTGAATTACCTTGCACAATATTTTCAGAGACCCACCGTCTCACAGAAGTAAACAGAAATAAAATTGTTTCATCCAAATCTAGACTAAGAATACATCCATATCTCTTTGCTCCTCTTCACAGTGGGTTGTTTCATGAGAGCTCTGGGAATGTCCCAGTAACAGGGAACAATAGGATCAGGCAGCAAAGCTAATCCAAATCCATTAAGGATCTTTTTAACAAAATATTTTCATTAATTAATTATTGTCATGATTTTTATTTTTTTGTCCTTTAATTTGTATTAAAGTTAGCTTTTTTTTCCAGTCATCAGTCTATGTATCAACTTTGGAAGCTCCGTCAGGAAGTTTTTGATGCAGAGGTTCTCAGGTAGGGTTTAAAGTCTCTTTGTAGGCTACCACAGATAATGACAAGCCAAGTTTTATTTACAGAAAGTACAATATTCAAAGTTGATGACTTTTACTAATGCCTTTTCTTCTTTTACAGATTTAAAACAATAGTAGCTGCCAATTTAAACGCTATAGCACAGGTACAATTTTACTGTAATTTTGCCTATTTAAGGGTCAAATTAAATTGTCAAATTTGTCAAATTAACAAAAAAAAGGGTATATAAACAAATAGGAAGTGGATGTAATTTTTAAGATACCTTTGTGTTATCTGTTAGTGGCACTTTGTCTACCACACTGCAGATCATGTTCAAGTCATGGTCCTTTCTCTTGCAGGTGCGAAAAACACTTAAGATGTTGGAGGACGATCTAGGAGCTCATATAAGTAGAAATTGCACCTTACTAGATGACAATTTGTGTGTTCAAATTTAAAAAGATATTTTATAATTAATGAATTGTGGGAACACCATGTTCAAAATGACTTAATATCCAATTTCACTCAAAATATTCATTTCTTACTGTAAGACTGCATGTTTGCAACAGTGTAACAGTGTAATTAATTAATTGTGGAAACACCATGTTCAAAATGACTTCATATCCAATTTCACTCAAAATATTCATTTCTTACTGTAAGACTGCATGTTTGCAACAGTGTAACAGCAACAGTGTGAAAACTGCAGGCTCAGATTTATTTGACTTACTTCATTCTCTGCCAAGTAGTGTACAAAGATTTTATTCCTTGACGATGAGTAGTGTTGGACTAGAATAAGGTGAGAGTGACACCCACCGGTGATCACCCCCTCCCCCTTCCCATGCATGCATTACTCCTCCTTGCACTATCTCTGAGAAAATAAGAGACAACTTTCACAGGCTTGAAATTGTTTCTTTCACTGTACTATTATATCTTTCGAAAAGAAAAAAAGATACTTCTGATAACGGAAACTGCTTCAATTGAAAATTACTGTGGTTTAACAATCAAGGAAGCAACAGTGACGCTCTTTAAAAGAGCAGACCTATTTATTTCCATAATTTTATACACATATATTTAATCAACATGAACGTATTTTGTATTTAAAATTGAAACAAACTCTTAAATATAATTTGTATTTGTCAATGTATATAATTTGATACAATACCTAAAAATTAATGCCAAGTCTTCAAGTTTTTGGTCAATTTGTTAAAATAGAGTGTTGTTAAAACAATATTTACCTAAGAAAGTATTTCACTGAGAAATGGTAATGCTGGCGTTAGCATTTCTTAGTGGAAGCAGCCATGCTGTCTAAGCATTATCCTTTCACTTAAATTTGTCATGAAATAGTTGCAAGTGTTACTTTTTCATAATTTAGTATTTTATCACGTATTTAGGTACATGTACATTGCAGTCTCATATTGGGTTAAATTTGCCCATATTAATTTCAAGGTTTCCTAGCAGGTCAATAGAATTTAGGACAGTAAGGAATATAAAGCAGCTTAGCAGATTTATGATTTGATGAACAGACCAGGTGCATGCTGGTGGTGGCTTAGCCTCCCACGCAAATGTTCTTAGGCCTGCCCCATGAACATGTTGGAGGAACAAGTGACAAACCCCTAAGAACGTCTGCTAGGGAGGCTAGTGGCGGCTCTGCTGCCAAAACTTTTTCCGCAAAATCACACAAGTGAGCTTGCTCACAGGCTAACGAGATAGCTCTGTCAACATGAAAAATATTCCAGCCTGGTTTGAATAAACACCTGTTGACTCTGCCACAAAGAGTGGCGAACAGAAACCTGTCCAATATGTGACAACTCACTTTAAAAAATTAAGATCAGTGCAGTGCAGCCTTGCTCTTTTGCAGGAACTGCTCCAAAATCTTTGTTCTAAATTGAACAAAGGCCCCTTGCAATATCCTGGTTTTCGTGCCTGCGCAAGAGCTATCAGCCTTTAATGTAGACAGCCTTATGGTAAAGGTCTGTTAGTAACTAGAAGAGAATGTTTAAAGCACTTTAGAATTTAAAATTCTCTAGGGTGTTATTTGTAAACATAAATGAAAATAATTAGAATGATTGTTTGTATAATGTGCAAGAGCAGATTTTTTAATGGGCAGGAAATAGTCTCAGATTGAAATGTACACTTTTATGAATAGGAACAAGAGTTAAAATTAAAATTATTGTTTAGTAAACCACAGTTATGTTGTGACTTGTCTGTAGTGTTTGCTCTCAAATAGCCTATTTCTAAGTTGCCCTAATTAATAAGGCCTGGGCCAGGTTGTTCAAAGCAGGGTTAGGGTTAGAGCTTCAAAAGCAAATTCAGTTTAATTCTCTTTGCCTACAATTTGATGATTCGATACTCCGAAAAGAATAGAGAAAATTATCCGAGAGAGTGGTTTTGATAGAAATAAAAAGAAACCCAGGTTTAAATTTAACCCCGGGTTAGCGCTATCTGGAGTTTGAACAACTAGGCCCTGGCCACAACCATTCACATGAAAATGAACACCAGAACTCAGCTTTGAAAAAGAAACAAAAGGTATTTCGAAAATGGCTTATCCCCTATAACAGCTTTTCTTCACGTTTTCCATGACTCACCAATTATTACCATAATTTGCTTATCAATGGTCCACACCAACAAATCCTTGGAGTTGCTGATTGGTCTTTTTCAGTCTAATTAAAGCTGCTATTGTTACTATTAGTATCAGTATCATTATCATTTATTACATTACAATTTATTTTGTTATTACCATTGTAATTATTATTGTTGTTGTTAATACTATATTCATTTTCTTTATTTCTATATTTTATAATTAATGAATTGTGGGAACACCATGTTCAAAATGACTTAATATCCAATTTCACTCAAAATATTCATTTCTTACTGTAAGACTGCATGTTTGCAACAGTGTAACAGTGTAATTAATTAATTGTGGAAACACCATGTTCAAAATGACTTCATATCCAATTTCACTCAAAATATTCATTTCAACTGAACTGCATTTTGCAACAGTGTAACAGCAACAGTGTGAAAACTGCAGGCTCAGATTTATTTGACTTACTTCATTCTCTGCCAAGTAGTGTACAAAGATTTTATTCCTTGACGATGAGTAGTGTTGGACTAGAATAAGGTGAGAGTGACACCCACCGGTGATCACCCCCTCCCCCTTCCCATGCATGCATTACTCCTCCTTGCACTATCTCTGAGAAAATAAGAGACAACTTTCACAGGCTTGAAATTGTTTCTATCACTGTACTATTATATCTTTCGAAAAGAAAAAAAGATACTTCTGATAACGGAAACTGCTCAATTGAAAATTACTGTGGTGTTATTTGTAAACATAAATGAAAATAATTAGAATGATTGTTTGTATAATGTTGGGGGGGCGCGTGGTGGCGGAGATTCTTTGTTATCTGAAAGTGTTAATAAAGAACACACCTACTCAAGTAATGATTAATTTGTGGAAAGATACATCAAGAACATTTGAGTGGGCTGAAATATACCCTGCTCTTTACATCACCGTCATGAGGCGACCAGGCATTTGAATAGTTTGACGAGTATTTTAATTTGAAAAACCCGTAAGTGCGTAAATACCCTAAAATTCCGAAAACAGGCCCTTCCATGTATAAGCCCCTCCAAATACAAGCCCCTCAAACCAGTAACACAAAAAACCCTCCGTTAAATCGCCCCCCAACTATAAGCCCCCCGGGGGCTTGTGCTTGGAAAATTGCCCTCAAATACAAAGTAAAGGAAGAAAAAAACGGTAAATTTCCTTCAAACTATAAGGCTAGCGCAATCGATTTTGAAACGCAAATTTCCCTCCGTATATAAGCCCCTCAAAAAGGACCTTTGAAAAATATAAGCCCCAGGGCTTATTTTCGGAATTTTACGGTATATAAAATAGACAGAATGACGTTATTGGAACACATTTACATTTGCAACAATGTCAAGACAGCAGAGGGTAAGTTCTGTATAGGATGGAATGCAGGACTCTTCAAGAACATCCACATTGTGTGCTCACGCATGTATCCACTACCTTTAGAGGAGTGATCGAGGGTCTGCTAATATGTCTCCCTAGGAAACTCAGACAAGGGCTTCAACTAAATCCAGTCTAAAACAACTCATGTCTTGATAATGTTATTATAGCCACATCTGATCGATCACTCCCCATGGTTGGGGTGTATCCTTGAGAAATGTCTTTTGCAAGAATGGGAAACCATGACAGGTGGTTTTATCAGCAGGCTAACTGAAAAGTCGAAGGGCTGGCCTGAAAGCTGGCCTGGGTTATTTCTGTTACAAAGTTTTGGAAAGGAAAACCACATTTCTGGAGGAAATTCTTCTTTCAAAATTTTAACTGAGTAACCTGGCAAGACCTTTTTAACAAATTAACAAGTTAAGAAAGAATAAACATAACGACAAACAAAAATTTTAAATTGCATTATGCAGTGACAGAATCTTTATTCTTTTTCACCTTTAAAAATTAAAAAAAATAACCAAAACTCCATCCATCAGCCAATACATTAGAGTTTTACTATGTAACACAAATAATTCAAGCTCTGAAAAACCTAATGTATTAATTTTATAATATCCCAGAAGATCAAAAGAATGTAGTGATTATGCAACATTGTATCCAGAAAAGGACTTTTTTCAGCCTCCTTATTAGCAATGAGCAAACTTATTATCGATAATAATATAATTGACTCTACTAAGGACTACTGGACAACAAAGAGGACAAAATTAAAATCTCCTTGTAAAGAAAAAAATAGTAAAAAAGCATCTACTTAAATGAGACTTAAATTGACCTTATAACAAAATACCTTAAACTTAAAAAAATTGAGCTATTTACACCTTTTTTCCTGTTAACTTAGGGAGTTCAGCTATTTGAATTACATATCAGACAACTGTGTCTCCAGTAGAGTGGTATAATATGGCTATAGTGTTGTCCCATTCCATTACCCCAAATAACATTCAGGTGAATTACCTTGGGGTAAGGGAAGCCCACCTGGGGCCAATATTGAAGTATTTAAACTTTGAGCCTCAAAATAAGAGGAGGACCATTCCAGTAAGCAGCCATTTCCAGTTATGGATACTTCTTCTGCTTTCCAAGAGCATCCATGACTTACCAGAGATTTGACTGTCAACTAGTAAACAGTTTGAACACAAGAAAGATGTCATGATTGCTGTGGCTTCTGCATTTTGCAGGATTGTTGATGACAGTGACATTATTTTAGGAAGCCATGCAGAAGTCTACTTCAGAATCAAAGTTACAAGAAAATGTAGTATGTCAAAAACCAGCAAGTCTTTTAAAACCATCAAAGGAAGAGTATTAAAGACAAGATTTCATTGACTTCAATGAAGACTTCTGTCGAGCTCAGCAAAACATCAGCCACGGTCAACTACAACAATTTTGTTCAGTATCACCCGACTGGAAAATCACCGTTTTTACTTAAATAACTCCCAATTCAAATAAAGTAGTTAATACAGCAACTGCATTTTAGACAAGCAAAAAATTAGTGTTAACAACCTTTTTTGCATCCCAAGACCGAATATCATTACATCGTCTATAAATGCAGAACTTTATAGAGAATGTTGCTAATGTTACTGTCATTCTGAAACATTTTCACAAAATTTAGCTCTTCAACAGTATATTATATAACAACAACAATGTTTCAGCACAGTGACATTATATAATTTATATAACAGACAATAAGAATAATACCTGGACTACAATTAATAAGTGCTATGTACAATTTAAAGTAAAAGGTAATATTTTACCTACAGTCCATGTATCAACTTCTTTACATTTAATACAAAAGTGCAATATTGAAGACAAGATGAAAGGAAATCTGCTTAAGCTGAACCCCCTTCCATAAAGACAGCTTTCATGTCTACCCCAGGGTTATATGCTTCTGAACCCCCAATAGCAAAGGCAAGTTACCTTACATTGTAATATGAAAAACAATCCATAATCTAGCCCAACAGAGAAGTCACTACACAATGAACACTTTCTTTGCGTATTAAAATATACGAAAATCTATCAAAAACAAAAAAATGGCTGAATCCCAAGCTACCTCTAAGAATATTGTATTACCAGTAAATTAAATTATTCTAGATTTAACATCATAATATTATGTACAAAGTGCCATATTTAACATCTCCCATCAAATACCAGGCCCAAGTTGCTTTAAAAAATCAGTAACATAAAACGCTCATCCATATGAAGGAACTACAGCTGGTAAAAATTTAATAATGTTGAACATTCACTCAGAGATTTGGTTATGTTTATCCACAATGACGATAAAAATATCACAAAATATAAATACCCCAATAACTTGTGGATCCAGCACCTGGGCCCAGGCATTTACTGGTCTGCTAACACCAAATGTTTCTACTATACTAGAGATAAATTTGATAATCTTTAGAGCATGCAAACCTTACACACTGGATTATTTAAAATAATGCATAAATTTCAATCTTTTTTAATAAATATATAACAAGGTAGCTTAAGCCACTGCTGCAAGAGGCCTGCCTCTGCCAAGACCGTGATGGAACCCTTTGGTGCCATCAGGTCCCTTGGGAAGTCGTTCCACTCCCTCCAACTGGATCATTCTGTGTCGCGGGCTAGAGGACTCAACGAGCGGACTTGTGTGTTGCGAATGGCTAAGATTTGGTGATGCAAACTTACGACGCTGAGACCATGGGCTGTTTGGAGCACTACTGCTGCCTTCTTTTACACCAGTGTTTGCCATCTTCCTGGACATCTCTGGACTACTCTGAGGTGACCGCCAGTTACCGGCACTGCTGCGAGGACTGGGGCTGTTGCGGACAGGAGATGTACTCCTATCTGAGGTATGGCTTCCCCCACTGTTTTGTCGACGTCGGCAGCTGCTGAATGATGAGTAGGAATTATCAGTATCGGAGGAACACGAGCTTGAGACGTTATCATCAGAATTTTTTCCCATCAGTTCCTGTACTCGTTTGTTCTTCTTTCTATTCCGACGTTTCTTTGAGGATTCGTCGTGTTCCTCGTCAGAATCTCGTACAACATCGCTTCCTCTGTCCTTTGATTTTGACTTGGACTTCGATTTTTCCTTTTTGGGTCCTTGCTTGCCAAGTTCAACCACTTTCACACCGCCCTCTTTCGACATATCACTGCAGGCTCGAGCGGCCGCAGCCATGGTTTCAAAGGCAACAACAGCACAAGTCTCCGTCTCTAGTTCTGGATGTTTGGAAAAATAGGACCTCAGATCGTCTGGAATCGTTTTCCCTGGGCGAACGATGCGGATTAACTCAATCTCACCACATTTTGAAAACATTTCGCTCACGCTTTCCATTGAAGCATTCTCAAGTCCTGTTACCACGACGGTTCGGCCAGGATTGCGTTCGAGAAGTTCAGCTGGCAGGGAAGTATTCCTTCGAACCTTCGTCTTTTCTGAATTCAACGAAAGCTCCTTTGACTTTTCCAGGGCTTGAGAAACGACTCTGTAATCTTTAGTTAGGGTCTTCACTTTCTTGAAAGACGTTATGAGCTTTAAATTGACATATCCTTCTTTGTTTCGACGGACATGCTTCAGAAGAAAGGCATCTTTAGCCAGATTATCGTCGCTTAAATAAAATTCAACTTGGGTGACAATTTTGTCAGAGAGTTCTTCACTGGGAGGTTGAAAAGGTTCAGTTCCATCTTTTACATCGTTGTCGGAGTGAGAATCAATAGGAGAGTGGGTATATTTGCGATCTACTTCATCTTCTGAAGGCGATGATCCCGCTACGTCGTGATCCGAACATGCGGTGAATTCTTCGCCGTTTATCAACAGCTTAGGTGATGCCTCGACAGCGACAGTTACGGCGACTGCTACATCGACAGACTCTTCTTTCTGATCGTCAGCCATCTTAAGAAATTAAATTTACACACAGATGGCCCGTCAGATCCGACGAATCTTATATGCCTCGCTTTCTCGCACGAAACTTCTAACATAAATTATTTCCGGCGTCAATTTTATACGGCTCACGTGGCTAAATGACGCAATACGACAACTATATCTGACATTTCCGGTAATTCTGAAAAGCCAGTCGAAACGAATCATACAGTTATTTTTGTCGTTATAGACATCTACAACTATAATTATAGTTTGCTTCCTCCTAATCTGAATCGACTATAACATGTTCAGTTAGTCTAACAAATATTCGGCGAATTTGATCATGAGGAAATATCGGACGAACGTGACATCATACACGACTGCGCTGCATATTACACGTAGCGGAAAATGATTTCGAACACGTTTCTTTCGCTATCGTTCGACTGTCATCCAAGGTCAGCAGAAATTGCTTCATTACACTTTCAAGAAAAAGAAACTGGGAAATGTGCTGTTTCTTCCTAAAATAGAAACACATTTTTTTGAAATTTGGTTCTGTAAGCCAAGCGGAAAATATTTACTTTACGTGTTAGTGAAATGCAACGGGTGCTTACTTTGTAATTCGGACTTTCACGTGTTAAAACGGTATATTTGCCGATGAAACGACGTATTTTTGAAATTCGATTTAAAATAACTGAATATTATTTTCACCGTAAATAAAAAAAGTTTGTTACACGCTCTACATGCTCATCTGAAAGATCTACAAGATTGTTCAATTCAGGCTGTTGACATCCTTTCTGGGGTTTTCCCTGAAACCTTGTGTTTGCCTTCTCTAATGGAACACTCTTCTCGGGCATGCGGAAAAGGAAATGGAACAATAAGAATATAAATTTGACCTTTGTTGTTTTCAATGTGACTGAGAATAATATAATTTTACAATAAAGTGCATTCTTTGTAGACTGCAGCTAGGTCTCAAGATAGACGAGTACAGCGTAGAATAAAAATAACTCAAAATTCTGTCAATCAAGGGAACTATCATCACCATCATCATTAATTTCGAGGAACTATTCTGAACAGGAAATTAACTTGACTGGTTATAGCCTTGAAAGTTACTTAAGTCCCATTTCTTTATTATTTAATTTAAAAAGCTCAGGCAGCCTTTTTTAACAGTTTCGGTTTGTCCTACTAATTTGTCTGCTAAGACTCCTGTGGGACTCCTGTGGTCGGAAAGATGCAAAGCCTGTTTTTTAAACCTAACTGGCCCCTTTGACATATTTTGTGAGAGTTTGATTTTCCATTCAAAATCCATTCCCTGTGGTAAAAACAGTGAAAAGCTAAAATCTTGGACAAAATAACCGGAATATTAACCTAACCCACCCTTCCACATCACCACCTCCCCCCTCCCCCAAAACGAAAATGCGTTAAATGTTTTGGAATTCGCGCGGTTTCATCCTTGATTTCGCGAGAAAGGTGGGTATTTTAGCCGGCCAAAGGTCGGGAAATAAATTGAATCGGAAATCCTACAACAATTTTAACTGAGCGCAGTTCCGTATCATGACGCCCACACGGTGGTATCCCACAAAAACAAAAACAATATTTGGTATTGGGGGTTTGGTGGAGGCTCTGCACGTTTATAACAGAATTTGGTTTAATTCATTTCAAACGGCACTGGTCTGTTAAGTCACGAGATATGCATGTGCAATATTGTTATTCTAAAACAGGTTAAGTGACGTTCTTATGTGATTTTTTATGTGCAGAGTAACACAACCTTGAGACATCGAACTATTAGAAAAAATTCAACTTCATTTCTTTTTAATTTGTGAAAAAAAAAAATCTTAGGCCTTTACGACACACAGACCCACTTGCTACAGAAATGCACCTCTGCTAACCTCTTCTTTCCGTAGGATATGAAAATTGTACAAAAATACCCATAGTTATCCGTGCACCTCTTTTAAGGGAAAAATTACCGTGAGGTTTATTTTCTACCAAAATACCAAAATGAAAATAATTATCATACTGAAAAGACTGGAATAATTGTAACAAGAAGTAGCAGGCTGAGGTAAATAATACTAGGGAAGTAGTAGAGTATGGGAACAGGGAGGTGGAGTGGGGGAGTTGAGCTAGATATCGCTTGTTATTCCGTCAGTAGAAAAGGAAGTTTAACAAGAGTAGACTTCCATTTCCTTTTAAGCTCTGTAGACAAAAAATTTCTCTGATCGTAAGCAAAGTGATTGTATTACTCAAAAATGCTTCAGAGAAGGCTTATCAAGGAAGGCATAAGTGCTTATAGGTGCATGCGACTACTGCTAATATTACGGAAAAGTATCTGTTTTCATCGTACGAAGGAAACGATCAGTATTATGAGGACTCGGGCGTCAAGTCTAAAGATTTCAAAACTGAAAACGTCAATCTCAAGATCAAACAATACAGTCGCAAACTGGTCAAAAGTTGAGCTTTATCAGAAGCGCCGTAACCGGCGAATCACCCCTCGATGATTCGTGGAAGTACTGACCGTGATGAGAGTTTCATTTGAAAAGGGCGTGTGTCGAGGTCGTGTCTAGTGACTCAGTTTTGAGAAATTCTGCGAATGGCATAATCACAGCTTCGTGTCCGTAGGACCCCATCGGTCTCTCAAGCATTATATCAAACGTTACAGAACTTTGAAAAACTGTTTGGCTAATAAGTTTTCAAAAACCACAATTGTAATGATCCGTTTCAGTCTTAATTTCTTCATGTTTGTCCACCTGTTTATCCTCTTTTGTATTTGCTGCGTTGTTTACCATGTTTTATACCATGTTTTGAGCGTTAACTTATCCTTATGTTTCACCCAGTTTGGTAGCAGTTTCCACTGTTTTGATTTTGATTAATTTCATGACACAGCTCCTTCAAAGGTCATATCTTTTCATCCAAAACTTTAAATATTAGGCCCTAGAACTACGGTCGGATGTCTCTCAACAAAGTATCGCGTAAACTTAAATGGACCCCGGGCACTTATAGAAAGAAATCCTGCCCAGCCGGCACAGTACATTCCAAAGCTTTACTGACTTGACTCTTGCTTTTAAAACCTCTATAAAACATAACAACGTCCACCAAGTTACGTCCCAACTGGCAGCAAAAGCTCTCCTCAAGGAAGATATAAACTTTGTCGACCTTTCTGTTCTAAATGTATAATTTCTCTTCTCTCTCGACAAAGTTTGGCCGTTTTAAGAATTAATATTGCATAATAGGCATTTAGAAAAAAGAAAAACAACTAGAATGTTCACATTCCTCTATTTTTCCGTAAGATCGTCGAGATCGAGCGTTTTGCGTTTCTGGCTGCCATCTTGCATGAGTGCAATCGGCTCCTGATGAGTGTTAAAACTACTTAGGGGGCGGGGGCGGTTTGGGAGCTATAATCCCCGACGCCCGCCCCCTTGGTACATTTGAAAATCAAGATACCACCATTAGCGAAAACGGCCACTTCCCCCATAGCCGTCCTGCCCTCCTGTTGCATAAACTCACTAATATTTCGTCGATCTGATTAATTATCATAAGCTTTTCTTTCACTATGGAGTATGAATATTGTAAGGAGAAAATTGATATTGGTCACTCTTGGGAATTGATTAGAATTGGGCGAATCAGGAGCCTATCCTTTGGAAGAATACATACTGCTCTAAGGATAAAATTAAGTTATTAGGGCCGTAATAACACCCGTCTTATACAAGAGGTGTCCTAAATAAGAGTAGACTACGAGTAGTCCCCCATTTTTCCTCAGGGATAGTAGAGCGCGCGTGAAAATCACCCCACACGAGAAAAGGCGACACGCGGCGGGAAGAGAGAAATCTACTATCTCTGAGGAAATATGGGGGACTACTCGTAGTCTACTGAACAGCCGACGAAAGTCCTTTATTCTTTATTCTCTCCCCACCGCGTGTCGCCTTTTCTCGCGTGGGATGATTTTCACGCGTGCTCGCGTTTCGCTCGCTCTACTATCCCTGAGGAAAAATGGGGGACTACTCGTAGTCTAAAATAAGAGGCAAACTATCCCGTTCCGAAACGGCACGTGTCGTTTAAAATTTAGCTAAGACGTCCTTTGGGGTTCGAACCCCAAAGGACGTCTGCGGGGAGGCTAGCTAAGACGTGTCTTATCTATTAAAGAACAACCCCTAACACCTGTTATTTATTTATTTATTTATTTATTTTATTTTATTTGCCACACTAATTACAAAAAATATAGGAAAAGAAGAAGAAGAAAAAAAAAAAAGAAGTGGCGAGGAGACCTAACAGAAACTATAGGAGCTTATGAGAGGTTAGGCCTCCTCGAACTATGAGCTAGAGCTGTTTCACATCAATTGAAGAGAAGAAGGCGAAAGACGATAAGACGATAAGACGAGTCTTAACTAAGTTCCGTCTAATGAGCCGTTTATACGAGATAGTTTGCGTCTTATTTTTCCTCGTATAAATAGCCCTATTATGTATGTTGCTTCATTCTTTAGAGATGCTGTAAAAGGCCTGACATTTTTGCATGTTAGCGTCATAATTTCGCTTCACGGTCCAGTAGGCCAAGCATGAAATCATTACTTCTTCCGTATGAGACGTTGTGTTAATCTCGGGGTACGAGATTAACGTTATGTGCCCCGTCAATAACTTCAACATGTAGGTAGGAGAAGCGTTGCGTGACGACACTAAAAATAGCTGTGTAGCAGACTATGAACATGTTGAAATTTGTTGAACGAGAATAAAGACAGGCTCTATTTCGTTTAACAATTTGCAACTTGTACAGTTAGTCCTTTACAAATGTCAGGAAAATCGCTCACCGTTTGTTGCGGAATTATTACACATAATCAGAAGCATATGGTCAAAGTAATTTCAACAATAAATTTTTCTCTTTTGAAACCATGAAAAGACGTCAGATACCTTTAAGGGTAATTATAATACTTACGACGTAATCAGTGACTGATCTTAATTAACACAAGTTTTATGAATAAAGGTGTTGTATGCGCAAATGCTTTTGGATTATTACATGATATGATTACCTGTTGTTGTTAAAGTAGGTATGGAAAGATCAAGTCACGTTGATGTAAAGAAGTGGTGATTATATTATGTCAGAAGCACGTAAGCGCGTAAGCGATTATTACATCAACAGCAATTGACACTCAACCGTTGCATCGACATTTGCAAGGCTATCGGAGCCTAGCCTCAAACACACAGATCAAGTCGCTTGGTCAGTCCGTAAAAGAAGAAGTACGAAGGGTCAAGGAAAATAGCAGGCGCGAGAACATGACCAAATTTAAAGAGTGTAAAATTCCGTGAAAACGAGAAAACGGCTGTGTAGCACACTAGCTTATAATGGACTTTTCTCAAATGTTTAGGGCCTCTACTTTAATTTACACAAAGAAAATAATCTCTGGGAGCGCTGGGGGCAAAGTTTTGGCCATAAACGGGCAAAGGTGGTGGAATTGGCTATTTTCACCCAATTTGCTAGGCCGAAATCAGCAAAAACATGACCAAATTTAAAGAGTGTAAAATTCCATGAAAACGGGGTCTAATAGGCTTATAATGGTGACTTTTCACAAACGTTTCAGGCATCTAGTTTAATTAAATCCAAGAAAATAATCCGCTCTGGGAGCTCTAGAGGCATAGTTTTGGCCATAAACGCAATGGCAGTGAAATTGGCTATTTTCGGGTGATGTTTTAGATGGTGCCGTGTTTGGTATTTAAACCTATAGTGGGAGCATCAAATTCAATATGGAATGAAAATGTCTGATAAGGAGTACATTAAAAAGCTAGATGATATATTGAAATTCCTACCAAAAATAAAAGACATCCTAAAAATAGGTGAAAATAAAAAGACTAGTAAAACTGAAAGCAATAAAATTACATGGTCCCGAAACGATCTCTCAGCCATCATTCTTTTATTCCTCCTTACCAGCATTTTTTAAATTAAGAAAAAGAACTATCATATGCACCTATCAATGGTAAGCCCCAGGGTGGGGGGGGGGGGGGCTACCCACGGTAAATTGACTCAGAGAGCCTTCCCCTGAGCAGGAATTTTGACACAAAGTTGGGAATTTGACATGCCCACCACCTTGGAAGACCTAGAGAACCTGGAGATGACTTACATTGTATTCGCCATCTTGGTATTGAAAAGACTTCTCTTTCTCCCCGGGGGGTGGTACTCCTGGGAATTCTTGGTACCCTATTTCAGACCAAAAAGTGTCATTTTCCAGACCCGGCCTTTAGGCAGAAATTATGTTAGTATTATTTAGATTAGAGCGCAAACGAAAAAAAGTTCCTCAAATTCGTTTCGAATTCGCATATTTCTCTTTCTTTCTTACTCATTTGGAATTGAAACGATAAATACGTTCATACACTCCTGTAGTTCCCTCGAAAACCATACCCGATTCCAAACTAAAATGGGCAAAGTGTATACCCGTTTTCAGACCAAAACGGCGCAAAAACCCCACCCGATCACGATCGATGGGGCGGCACATACCTGTATAGCTTACATAAGGGAGTACCACCCCGGGATTTTTCTGGACACCACGAGTGAAAGAGGAGTAAACGAATCTGTCTTGTATTTTCGTTAATATGGACCATCACTTCTTTCAGTATTTGCTGGTGCGTTCTAAAGTACAAGAGTGTTTCTTTCTATTGTTTCTCGTGATTGCTTTTTGTATACTTCTACATATTCATGATTTTCTACTCTATCGTTGTGTATGCGTGATCGAATACGAAAGCTGCTTGATATTGTTCATGTTGTTTTGCTCAATTTTAGGTGCCCGATTTAAGGTTTGAAAGTGCCCAGGGGTGGGAAATTTCAGACCTCTCAAGTCTCACAATTTTGCCTTGATTCCGGTTTCCAGAACAATCTCACGAGTAAATGGACTCACAAGATGATGTATAAAATAAACATTTTCCTGTACATGTGGTCTGCTTTTTTCTAGTAAAAACAGACGTATCAGGTCCATCTCCATGTTTTTACTTTAATATTCCGGTTTTCTTACCTCCCCAACCGGTTGTATGGTGCCCGGAGGTTGAAAGGTCTGGAATTTGACAGTCAATAGATGCCACGGGGTGGGAAATTTGAAGCGACAGTCCTGGACACTCATCAATGTTAAATATTTAAGCGCAGCTATCGATACAAATGTACGGATTTAACCATATGCTTCTCAATTCAAATACCAACTGAAACTAACCACTCTCGTCACAGGCTTGAGCTACCTGTTTCTAAACCTACTTACATACAGTAAGTTTAACCTTATTCCTTATTTTTACTAGAGTACGACAAAATTCATATATTTCTGTCATTTCTCGGTTCCCTCTTAAAACGGTGCATCCTTTTCGAAAATTTGTTGCAGTTCTTCCCCCCTTACCCTATACAAAGCTGAAACTCTAAAAACATTCCGGATACAAGTGTCCAACATTTTGTGTGTGGTGAGGGGTTGGACCTGTGTGAATTGGAAAACGCCCCAGAAGTGCAAAAGTGTCCAAGACTTTTGTCCATGATTGTAGCTTCCATGAAAATGTCAAATTCCCCTGGGTCCCCCTATCTTTTCGTACTCATTGGCAGGAGATTGCACTAAAAATGAATGTAATTTACCTTTTTTGGGGGGGGGGCGGCGCATAGTACCGAAGACATACGATTTCACCCGCACTTCGTCGTCGATTTGTACTCGAGGACGAGTTGCAATTGATATTATAAACAATCCCACAACGTTAAATCTCCCACAGAACAGATTTCACTTGAGGAACGTTTCACGGGTCCAAACGGTGCCAGGTCACGTGGTCACGTGGTCACTTACTCTCATCCCCAAAGGCACTCCAGTTTCATGTATTGTCTGGGCCTGATAGTTAGCAACCGCGCAGAAAGGTCGTGACTGAGATTTTCTGATGGATCGACGACGACGACGACTACGACTGGAAGGTGATTTTAGACTTGGATTTTCCTGTACCAAGAAGCCCAAGCAATTAGCATCACAAAACTTTCGCACTAAGACTCGCTTTGAAAAATTAAAAAAGAGGCAGACGCGAACTCGGAAATGGCCTGTCGCAAAACCAGTCAGATTCAGCAAAAAATAAGTTATTTTACTAATTTTCTCTGCTATGAGCCGAGATTAGACGATTGTTTTTTGTTTTTAGTTTTCGTTATTTTATCTGTCCCATATAAACCCAAAAATTCAGTACGTCAACTGTGAATCTGGTTTGCCTGTGGTCGAGTGTGACGTAAACACAACAATTATTGACCTAGACAAGACCATAGATGATTGCGCGCCCAGTCCTGATACCACAGGGTCCTGGTGACGAATTTGTCAACGTGCGAGAAGCTACAAGAACCGTTCCATTTTTAATATGTCCATCGATTTTCGATCCGGTGTGAAGCTGGGTGATCTGAGGAGGAAGCTTTGGTCGCGTTATCGGTCCAACTTAACCTTCCAAGTCCCTGGAGGTCAATCAATTCTTGGTTTTGGCGATATCAATGCTCGGTATGAAATAGACAACTTCCTACAGAATGAACTTCCGGCTAAAGTGAAAGAGCTGGATTCCCGTTTCGACTTGGAGGTTATTCAGTCTGGAAGTTTCACAGAAGGGGTATCTTTGTATAGAAAACACTCTCAGGATGAGACGGTTGAACAAGAATACGATTTTCTGTTCTTAATAAAAACACTGACGGTCGACTGCAACGAAAATGTTAGACGCATTTCCGTCGTGGAAGGGGAAATTCAGAGAAGAATGGATCGGAGGTAAGTCAGGGCCATTCGTGGATTCGTCTGAACGACATCGATCTTCAAGCAACTTGGCAAGATTGCGTCATTGAACGCCAAGATGAAGTTTTTCTGTCCTCGACGAAAATAGTCGAAGTGCTGCAAGCAAGGATCGAAGAGGTTTTTCAAAATAGCTCGTTTGGAGAGAAATGTGTTTATAGATTTGAAGTCAACGGGCCAGCGGTTACCGTCGTCATGGATCTTAGAGACAGCAGCGGAACCCAAGTTACTTTCAGTTTTGATTTTGTTTTGGCGTTGGACTGGAATGAATGGCCAATCTCTGCCAAGGAGTGGATAACGCGACCTCGCAAGTGGCCAGATAAAACGGTCGCAGCGGAAGTAGCCAATGGTGGCGTATACTTGGTTTCAAAAGCCTCAACGCACGGCGATCCAGAATTAGAATGGAGAATCTCGTTCTCGAAAGCTGAGAAAATTCTGTTTTCCCGTTTTCCGAAACCACGAGGTGAATACACGTTTCCTGCTGGAAGAAAAATCACTTACGATCATCTTCTGATTACAGATGGCAGCTGCCGCATTGAATGCTATCGCATCCTGAAGGAGATATTCAAAGAACACCTGTCGACTCCCAAGATTCTCAGTTCTTATCATCTCAAGACCATCATGCTTTGGGCATGCGAAAAACATCCTGAAGATTTCTGGGAAAGTTCCAACTCAGCTATCTGTTTTCTGGGTCTCATTGACGACCTTTTTCACGGCTTGGCTACTCAGCAGCTAGAACAGTTTTTCGTGCCTTCAATCAACCTCCTCTCACATCACGACAATGCTTTCCTGTTGACATTGACGAGAAAGGTGTCCCGCATTCGCACTAAGCCACTACAGTTCGTAAAAACGCCCGAGGACGACTTGGGAATACAAGTTACGTACAGTGACTCCTTCATTGAAGATTCCGAAAAAGCCCAATTAGAAGCCATGAAACAGTGGTTCTCTGGAGCTCAAAAAAATTCAGGAGGTGAAGTCGTTGCCCAAATGAGTTACAGTTATAAAATGACTGGAAAATTTGATCCCTCGAGAGTTGACAATTCCTACCTTCGAGATAACCATTCACCTAAGCAGTGAAAGGTGTATGCTTTTAGTAGGTTCAAATCTAGCGGTGGCGACTTAAAGGTTTTCATTAGCAAAAGACACTGACTACAACTATTCCTCGGGCGCGTGAACTCTAGGACACAATTTGTGTACACGAGTGATGGCTGCGAATGCTTTACTATTAAAACTTTTTCTTCGGACATAATTTTTGTTTTAAAATTTTACAAAAAAAAGACGATTAATCATGTAAAGGGATAAAATAAAGTGTAAAAAACAACAGATAGGTCACAACGCTCGTTTGGGAGAAAATGACCCGTTCTTTGCCAACAATCGCTTTTGTTACGTACGTTCAAAACATTTCCGATCCGGAGACCCGAGGATCTGTATCGACGCGAAAGAGCTCAATAAAGCCTTAAGCGGGAAAGATCTCCCATCCCAGGGATAGAAGATGTGTTGCCAGAATCCTCAAAAGCTAGAATATTCACAGAAGCTGATGCTTGCAATTGATACTGGCACGTGGTACTTGATGAAGAGTCAGCCACACTGACGACGTTCGACACCCCCTTTGGACTTTACTACTGGCGAAGACTACCTTTTGGTCTCAGTGTCTCCTCTGAAATTTTCCAGAAGCGAATCCACCAAGCTTACGTACGTGTTATGTACGTGATGACATGGTTATATAAGGGGTTGGTGGCACTGATGAACAGGCTGATGCAGATCACGACAGAAATTTAGAAAGATTTCTGCAACGATGCAGAGAAAAAGGAATCAAGCTAAACAAATTGAAGCTCAAACTCAAGTGCACAGAATTCTCCTACCTGGGACACCTTGTCACCAAAGAAGGCCTGAAACCAGATCCGGGCAAGATAAAGGTTGTGCAAGAAACGCCGAGACCGGACAACATCAAAGCAGTCAGACGATTCTGTGGATTCGTCAATTACTTAGCAAAGTTTATGCCGAAACTAAGTGAAGTCATGGAGCCTATTAGAAACCTCACTTGCAAAGAGAATGAGTGAAAATGGACCCATGAACATGATGCAAACGAATCAAAGAAATGGCCACCACTTCGCGACTTCTCAAGTACTAAAACCCGGAAGACGAACTAACAATCCAATGCGATGCCAGCGAGAAAGGGCTTGGAGCAGCAGTACTACAGAAAGGTCAGCCTGTGGCTTTTGCAAGCCTTACCCACAGACACAGAATCGAGATATGCGCAGATTGAAAAGGAACTTCTCGCTGTGGTCTTCGCACTAGAAATGTTCCAGCAATATGCATATGGCAGACCAGTCACAATCGAGAGCGACCACAAACCCTTAGAGGCCATTGCTAAAAAGCCGTTAAGATGTGCACCCAAGAGACTACAAGGGATTTTTCTCAAGATTCAGAAGTTTGACATCAACATCGTCTACAATCCAGGATCTCGAACGTACCTAGCTGAAACACTAAGCCGAGCGTACCTGCCCTCAAGGAAGAACACTCAGAGAGACTTTGAGATTTATTGTTAATGTGCTGAACCATGACGAAATCCTGAGGCACACCAGCAAAGATGAGGTCCAGCAGCTGCTTAACGAAGTAATTATAACTGGATGGCCAGCGGACAAGAAAAGCCTTCCTGCTGTGCTGAACCCCTACTACAGTTACCGGGATGAGTTGTCCGTGTACGATGGTAGAAAGGGGCTTTGAGCACAGGACAAGCAGTCCTCGTCATCAACAGGCAAATGGTCAAGCTGAATCTGCTGTCAAGGCGGCCAAGAGCATCCTCAGGAAGGCAAAGAAAAGCAAAGGTGACCCCTACCTCGCAATAGTTGCAGCACGAAACATCCCTTCAGAACAGAAACATATAATCAGAAGCATATAACCCCACATAATATAATCACCATTTTTTTTACATCAGCTTGACTCGATCTTTCCACACCTACTTTAACAACAACAGGTAATCACATCCTGTCATAATTTCAGTACTCTAAAAACATACAATTTTTTTTGCGCATACAACACCTTTATTCATAAAACTTGTGTTAATTAAGATCAATCACTGATTACGCTGTAAGTATTCCCCCTTTAATGGTATCTGGAGTCTTTTGATGGTTTCAAAAAGGAAAGATTGCTGTAATCACTTTGACCATCAATTCGCAATGGCAAATTAAGTACATGTATATTTCTATTCAAAATGAAAAAGTGAGTGACTCTCTAGTTTTACCTCGCCGTAATGCGTGATCATATAAATAATCTGAAAAAATTCGCTCGCGCAGCAACGCCGACAAAACCAAAAGAACGCTAAGTCTACCGGGTTCATCCCTTCAAGTTTGCTTTGGGTCTGGGTCAGTCTTTGTGATTGGTTGAAATAAAACCACGCGCTGTTTTCTTAGCCAATTATCTTCTAGCCTGAATTTTAGACATTCCTACGAGTCGCATACTCCCGTTGAAGATATGTCTGAAATTCACGCTAACTTTCCGCAGGCTACGCCCGTAAATTGTCTCGCTATCTGCATTTAGCTAGTACTTATTTCAATTCAAGTTCATTAATTTTCCGCGCGCAGTTACGCGTAGTCTTTCCGTAACGATCCACCAGTTCTTTGAGCCTCAAGGCTCCACACAAACTCTGTAATATGTTTGTTTCTGAGATACTTGTAAGGCTGTAAAAAAATCGGCCAGTTTATAAGGGGGACTGATAAGTTCCTCATGAGGATATTTGCTGCACGTTCTGGACAAAAAGGCGACGGCGTCGTCCAGATGCTGAGGTCCATAGTTATGAATTCCTAAAAACAAAACGGTTGAAAAAGGTTTAAAACGCGAACCTACAAGTGCGATCACCTCTCACAAGCTATTATGCTCATACTGACAATTCCCAGCTATCAGTACCAGGGATCATTCAGTTCTGATCAGCCGACGAGTTAGACTTTCTAAAAGTTCTTTATTCTTTTTTCCTGGTTTGTTATGAGCTCCAGAGTTCGTCGCTCGCTCGTTCCCTGCGCGACCTGTGCATTAAAGCTCGCTTGGCACACTTTTAATAACTTATGAGAGGTCGAATTGTAGCAAGTCTACCAACGAGTAAGCTCTGCGGGCCCCTCCTTTTTCGCCCCGCCGCTAGAGCGCCCAGGGGAGCTTGCTCACAGGCTAAGTTCTGACAAGCGATCACCTTCCATAAGGGACTATCAACGTCATCAAGCTTGAAGAAACAGCCGACATTTTGCGACGCCACCAATAGTTTCGCCGCGGGGAAGCCGATGGCTGTGTCGCTGAAATGTGGGCTGTTTTCTTACGGACAGTTTGCTTTGTCCCTGGGGAAAGAAAACCCTTACATTTTCTCTAAATTCAACCCGCTTAATACGGACACCCTGTTATTACGGACAGTTTGCTTTGTCCCTGGGGAAAGAAAACCCTTACATTTTCTTTAAATTCAAACCGCTTAATACGGACACCCCGTTATTACGGACAGTTTGCTTTGTCCCTGGGGAAAGAAAGCCCTTACATTTTCTCTAAATTCAACCCGCTTAATAAGGACACTTCATTATCACGGACAGTTTGATTTGTCCCTGGCGAAAGAAAGCCATTACATTTTCTCTAAATTCAACCCGAATACGGACAATTATTACGGACAGTTTGCTGTGTCCCTGGGGAAATTACATTTTCTCTAAATTCAACCCCCTTAAACTTTCTATGACCCCCTCAGTGTCTGTATTAACGGAGTTTGACTGTATTTATAAAACAGAAAAACTCAAAGACAAACAAAAAAAAAAGCGTGGTAAACCTTTGATGGTGATGCACTTCCTTATTATTTGCTCGGCAGTGACATCCATCTTGGAATCTGGATGAACCATTCCAACTAACACATAAACCCCGCCTGGCCTAAGAAGTTTTATTCCTTCCGGTATCACACTACGGATACCACAAACCTGTACAGTACAGACCAGAAAATAGATGAATACCGTAAAGGATCTAATAGACGCGGGGCGCTTATTTATTTTTAAATATATAAACTAGCTCAAGCTCAAAAAAACTAATATGCTTTCAGAGTAGCGGAATATCCAGTCCATCATAGTTGATACATCTAGGCCGTCTAGCAACCTCGTCCCCAGGGCGCTTTTCCATGGCTTTGGAGGTGGGGCGCGACAGCGCCATGGAAAAGCGCCCTGGGGACGAGGTTAGCCGTCTAGAGATCCATCGCTCTTTCAAATCTCAACAGCGATGTCAAAATCCTCACTCAGGATCACTGTGTTGTCATCGTTAGTCTAACCTTACTTTGACCTCAGTTGATATTATACAAGATTCAATGATTTTGTTCCTTTTTGCTAATTCCTAGTATTTTGGAGTAATTGTCATGAGGGCGTCTGTTAGACAGGGGGTGTTTATTAGAGAGGGGCATGTAATACAAAGTTAACATTGTAGAGGGGGCGTTTATTAAACAAGAAGCATTTATTTGAGTATGCGTCTTTCACATCATTTACGGTAATGTTAGTAGAGAATGATCCTGGCAGCATGTGGTATAAAAAATGAATACTGCTTACTGTCTGACTTGTGTCTGACATAATGAGCAAGAAATTGAAACAAAGTGCCGTAGCTTTTTTTAATTAACCCATTCGCTCCTGGAGATTTTGTCGAAAAACGCGTTTTGAAGCTAGTCGAGTGGTTTTCTGGTCACTGTCGTGCTATAAAGAGCTAAAACTTACCACAAACCAGTTTACAGGTCGTACACTTGGCGGCCTTCTGATCCAGATGCAAAATATCAGCTAGCGAAGTTGGGGCATGCGCAGAAAGCAAATTTTCGAGATAGTTTTTTTTTACTTTTCGCTTTCTCTCCTTTTTTTTTCGAATTGCCTCATTTTTTTTTTTTTTTTCTTGCTGGGCATTTAGTAGGCTTTTTTGGTGGGAAGAGTTTTTAGGAAAGCTTTTAGGATCTTAGGATTAGGTGAAAGGAAAAAAAGGTGGGTAATGGAACAATTATTTTCAACTGATTTTCATCCTTGTCACGTGGTTTTTTGCGTCTTTCTCAACAAGGCGACTGAATTGTGCTCATTCTGGTATGGTTTGAAATATTCTTCAACGGAAATGTCGAAGAAAATTTAAGAATACCGTTAAAACTGATGAAATCGGCAAGGGTAAAATAAGAATATTCCGCCTGGGCGGTTACGGGCAACATTCTTATATAAAAATGGGTTAATGTCCAAGCAAAATAATTGATTACTTTGAAGAAGGCTGATACATTATGTCATAGGCTAGAATCGCTCAATCATGACTTCTTATTTACCACTCCTACATTTTCAAAGAATGAGACAGGCAATTTCTTACAGGGTAAGTATCTGATTTTCAGCTTTCTGTGTTGCAATATGTATCTCTTGCCAATAGAATATATAGACTATTTGTTGAGGGGTCTTAGGTTCTGTAGGGCTTAACTCAAGGTTCCCTGACAAAAGATGTTATTAGTCAAGTAATACACAGCTTCTCCCATTTACCTCTATTACTGCATCAACAGAATTGTCTTTTGGACTGCTGGGATCCTGCTGGCCTAAAAAAAAACAATTTAAGGGTTCAGAGTAACCTCAGTCCCAGGGCTTTCCCTTAGAGAATGGGGGTGGGGGAACAAGGTTGGGTTTAGAATATTGTTCAGTAATACAAATTATCTGATGTTACAATTCACCCCACACAAGGGAATCTGGATTCCAGAATCCGTGCAATGTTTGCTTCTAAAATCCAAATTCTGGAAAATTGTGCTGGTAGAATACGGAATCCTGGGCTTTGGAATCCAGAATACAGCTCAAGGAATCCGGAATCCAACTAACGATTGGAATCCAGAATTCAAGTTCCACTAACAAAGGCTGGAATCCAGTCTGAATCCAAGACTGTCTTAAGGCTTATTGTTGTATTTGCTTAAACCAGTGCTCTGCACGAAAATCTGGTGGAAGATGGTGATTTTTTTTACAATAGAAATTAAACCCTGCAAATGAGTAAACCCCAAATTGTTTTTCTGATATAAGTCACTACTTTAGGTGTGGAAATTTAGAAACTCTTAAGACCCTGCAAGCAGCTTATTTTGTAACAAGCTTTGGATAAGTGACCAGAATGTGTAAGAAAAAAATTGTGGCAATAAAACTTGGAATGGATCAAGCCGCGTAAGTCAATAAAATGACCATTGGATAGGGATGGATGGTCACAGGGGTGCTTGATGAAATCCAGGTAAATTTTGTCAATGTCAGTAGAACATTAAGGCTACTAATAAGGATTGAACAAAAAGTGCTCAACTTCCTGGTTAATTACCTGCAACAAGGGGAATACCTCCAAACTTGCTCACCATTGCCAGTCTCTCAGGATTGATATCAGAGCAAAATACTTTGTTAAATCCAGCTTCATGAAGAAGTGCACAGCCATAAATGCCCAGAAGGCCACAGCCCTGCAAAAGAAATCAGGTAGGCAAAGATTTACACAAATAAAAAGCTACTGGTTTCATAATGGAAGTATGTTTTTAATATGTTTGAACCAATGGGCTCGTAAAAGTATGTTAAAAAAAAATGGTTTCCCTTTTTTCAGCCTTCTACTTCTCTTTAAAAAATAGATTGCTAATAATTCAAAAGCACATTCTTGGTACCAGTATGTACAAATGATATCAGTCTACCAGGCAGTTTATCTATACCATTCTCATACCTGAATGACAGCACTTGTTTCACGATGAGGGTTTCTGCCATCAAGTCCAGACACTGCATTTACCATGGTCGCCAGTGCACAGTTGACAGGAGAAGCTATTCTGTCTTGAACATGGTCAGGAATTTTTGAAACATGTGTTCCACTGTGGAGGATGATATGTGATGCATAACATCCATTCAGTTGGGAATCACTTGTCATGGGAGCATGACCATACTAAAAGAAAGTAATGCCAATGAAAGACCATTGTCTCCTTTAGTCCTGACCCACACTCCTCCACTGGTTCCAGCAATCCCTTCTCTCTCAGTTCCCTTTCTCCCCTGTTTCAACCCCTTAATCTCCTGGTTCTCATCACTACAGCTCTGCATACTCCAAAGTGGTACCATTACTATTCGTTCCTGTTTCTTACACCCTACTTTTGACTATGTTCCATTTTCACAACATCAACTCTTCTCTCAATTATTTCCCACCTGCTCATCACCTGGTTTATATCCCTCCTTCCCTTTTATCCCTCTCTCTTGGTTCCTATCCATGGCTCTCCTGCTGCGTCCCAAAGTCTTCTCTCTTACTTCCTACCTCTCTGTACATCTCAACTCTGATCTTCTGCCTCCAACCTTCTCTTCTCCTTAGCATTTTATATTAGCTTTTAATGTTTCTCAGTATTGAGACTACTCTTTCATTCTACTTGCAAATCATTCATTTAGTGGTTTTGATGGTTAACTTTGTGCTACTATGTACCAACATTGTTTTCATTCACTCTTTATCCTTTATTGCCATTGAAAACAAAGCCAGGAAAATAACAAAACACTAAATGCCAAGTCCCTTGGGAAACCAGTTAGTTGATAAATGTAAATCTCAGGACCTGACATTGAGCATTGTATTACTAAAGGATCTCACCTTGAACAAGGAGAGACATTTTTGTTGCAGACCATCTTTACAGCGTTCACACTCACCACAACAGTTAACAACATGAAATGTCAGTCTGTCACCTTTCTTCATCTTGGCACCTGTGGGACGTGTGTGGTCGATAACCTCTATGATACCCTCATGTCCAAGAATGCTACAAGAAATTAGCAGCAAAATATTCTTATAAAATATTAAAAAATATATAGTTGAATTGCAAGTTCCCTGCTCTGGCTAAAATATAACAATATTCACAAGTCAATTCCTATGTGAAACTATCCTCTTCTTTCCGAACCAGATATTTTGCTTATCAGTGGCAGTGAATATGATCAAAGGGGGATCTGCAAGTACCATGCACCCCCCTCCCATTGTTATCCCAGGATAACCTTCCTTCCTTATACCTCAGATTCCCTTTCGTTTGAGGTACGAGTTACCGTCCCCTAGCCTGCATAGCAAGCGTTTCCACGTGAGTTCATCGAGAAAATTGGAATGAGAGCAACTAAACTAAACTTCCCTGAAACTGATTTTTTTCTTCAGTTTAATTAAGAAAGATTCCAACAAATATAATCCTTTAAATCTGTAATCAGAAGACTGAGTTTGCACTAATTGTTGACCCCATTCTTAACACCCACCAAAATCACTGAACTGTTAACTCTAGTCAACTTTGCATAAATGTACATAAATCATTCAGGGTTTGGCACTAAGCCTGTTGCTGTCTTGGGGCAGTGCCTGACCAGGCCCGTAGCAAGCATAAAATGACTGGGGGGGCTGAGCGAGTGGCCCACATTAACTCCCCCCACCCACTTCGGTCCCTCGGTTAAAGCGTACTTTTTGGTACATGTCGGATCACTACATTTGTCTACAATACCTTTTGTTCTTGTCTCTAATTTTCCGTTTGAGTTGACTTTGATGAAATAGAGAACTTGTTTGGGATATCGTTCGCGGAAAATTTGCCAAACAATTGCTTTCGGTTTTCATTCTCCCCAACGAAGTCATTAGCTACGTCTACAAGGGTCAGAGCATCTGTTCTGCCCTTGTGAACATGCAACATCCTGAGGTGGCTCAGGTGGGATTGTCATTGGTGCATTTCGATCCATTTTGCTTCTGACTATTTTCATGCTTAATAAGCAGATATTTTAAAGCTGTCGGTTGTTTTTGGATTGTTTTTGATTTTTGGATATGATTTCCTTCATTTACACAAATCCAAATTGCACAGAAGAACAACAGTATACATAATCTTACTATGGATCGACCATACTTTGACACTTTAGCTTCCATTGACAGCTGTCCATTTTAGTAGAAAAATTCCACTTTTGTAGCAGAATTTAATTCAAGTCTTTAATTTCAAGTCTTCAATTTAATTTCTGGGGGGGCTCGAGCCCCCCCTGCCCCTCTCCCTGCTATGGGCCTGCTGACTGGAGAACTGATTAAAAGATACCAACTCAAAGGGATGCAATCTATTATATCAGGCAACCAGTCAGGGACCACTGAAAATGGAACAGCATTGTTTTATCCATTGGAAAAAACATCCATGTGTTCCTGCACTTGAGTTTTGACCAAAATCTAAAACGAAGGCATCATGGAAAGCACCCTACTGAGGGGGGCCCTGTTACAGACCTCTCGAGTGTCACAGTTTGGCCATGAGACTCACGATTTAGAGGGCAATCTCACGATCTCACGATGACGCACAAAAATCCCACGGTAAACAGATTCACAAGTCGATGGAATACGTAGTAGGAACATAGTAGGGACATACCTACCCATACCGACCCCCCACCCCGCCTCCAAGTAGGCCTCCATCTTTAAAGAGAAATTTGAACATAAAAAATCAATCAAATGAGGGGTCAAAATAACTAAACAGACCTAGGAACTGCTTCTTTTCTTCTACCACTGATTGTGTGCAAATCTGAGCCACATATCGTTGCCATTCGAAACTTCCCAAGGATTTCTCCAGATTTCAACTTGGGAATAGGAAACTCCTCCTGAATCAGACAAGGCTCCAAATGGCTGCCGACAAAGACGAGCCTACGGGCCGTATTGCCACCTTGAGTCATAGCCAGTCGCCTTACAAGGTGAACAAACGAAGCACGTATATAACGCATAAATATTTTGCTTCCTCAAGGAACGAAATAAAATCATAACATCTCGACGTGCCCATCTTCATGGATGTTTTTTCGCGGCTGATCGATCGTTGAGTAGGCTTGGTAACAAGACAAATTAATTTTGCGGGTAGCCTGGGGTCCAGTGTCTCAAGGTTAAAAAATGACTGCTGAATGTTGAAAGTGAGCTTTTTATAATGCGTGTTTTAATGTCCATTGCAATGAACAGAAAAATTCTTAGATTATTCTCGAAGACTAAGCTGAAGCCCCATGCATCAGAGGTACTGACACGGCATTTAAGACAGCGTGGCCTCCCGGAATGGACCTCTTACTTCGTCCGATACAAGGCAGTTGTAAATGATAACTTTGCAATGTCGCATTTCAACTGGAACGTCGATGGCGAGAACTACCACATTCTAAGAACAGGATGCTTTCCTTTTATTAAATACCACTGCTCCAAAAGACCTTGGCAAGATCTGAGAATAGAGAATACAGTTTTCAACGTGCTGAAAATGATGAATTTTGGAATCCCAACCTTGGCGTATGGTCTTGCAGCTTGTTTTCTTATCAGGCACGAAGAAATGGTCCAAACGCGCTTTGGAGACGTGAAAATATATTTTCTGATGGAGGAAGAAAAAGGTGCTATGTTCTGAGAAAACGAATTGAGGAAATTTCAGAATCTGGTACATTAGTTGAGGTATATATTTGTCGCTCATTTTAAAGTTAATTCATAATTATATTAAACCAATATCATCCAGCCACAGACCTGATCTCATCAAGATCTTCATGCTCTTGATTTTGTTAAAAAACAGTGTCACAGGCATATAAACCCTGCTAAGCTTATGATGAAACATTTTTCAAATTTGGACTTATCATATAAGGGGGGTGGGGGGTGGGGGGTACTATGTAAAAAAAATAATCTTATTGTTTGGTTGCAGAGATGCCAACCAGGGTGCCAACCTCTGGCGATTTAAATTCAAGAGACACTCTCTTTTGCCTTAGCCGCCATGCAAAATATCAACCGCCACCCCCTTCCCCCTTACCCGTTATAGCATCTGCATGGGCGTGGCTTATGACATTATAATGAAGTCCTACATGATGTACAGACCATCAAAATTCACTTCTACAAAATAAATGTCACCCTTATCAGTGGCAAAATTTGTGCAAAAATGTCTCAGTAGCTGTACCATGAATCAAAGAATGTTTCAAATTTTGGAAAAAAATAGGCTTAATAATTTCCAAACTAAAGCAAAGAAAAGATAAAAAGTGAATGATATCCAGGAGATTTGGTGATCATATAGGAGAACAGGGAGATAATTGTTGCTATATCCAGGAGACTTCTGGATAATGTGGGAGAATTAACACTGTTGTGGTTCAATTTTATCCTTGG